TGAGGCAGCCCTGCTCCCAAGGGCCCTGCTGCCCCGGCCTGTGGGTGAGTGGAGCTCCTCCCCATTCTCCAGGAGCTCTGCTGCACCCCAGCTATCCCATGGACCTCTCATGTGCATCTGGGTGCTGCTGGGGTCACTCACTGGCCTGGGCAGCTGGCGTGGAGCTGCCTGGGCGCTGCTGCGTCGCTGACCGGCCTTGTCCTTGGGTCTGTTCCTGGGTTTTCTGGCTCCCGTTTTGGGCTTTGCTGTGTTCATCTGTGATCTTTGTCGTGTTTTCCCTCTTTAACTTGATGCAGGTTTATCATCGCTGCAGTGAGTCAGGACAGTGCTTCTCCCTCTCTCTTCCCCTCCCCTCTCCTTCTCTCTCCCTCACTCTCTCTCCCTCACTCTCTCTCTCTCCTTCCCTCTCTCTCTGCCCACTTTCTCTGTCCCTCACTCTCTCTCTCCTTTCTCCCTCCTCCTTTACTTCCCTCTCTTTCCCTTCCGCTCTCTCCCTCTCCCTCTCCCTCCCTCCTTCTCTCTTTCTCTCTCTCCCTTCCCTCTCTCTCTCCCTCCCTCTTTCTCTCTTTCTCTCTCTCTCTCTCTCCCTGTCCCCTCTCTCTCTCCCTCCCTCCCTTCCTCTCTAAGTGTGTGATGGAACTCACTGGCATGAATGTCGAATGTCTGAGTCCCCTGCCCTTTCCTGCAGCAGGAATAGGTTTATAAATGGTTGGATCCGTTTCTGCAGTGGGTTCTGGGTTCCACATTGCCGTTGCTCTCCTCCCACCCCTGCTGTGGGTCCCCTTTTTCTGCTCATTGGTGGCCGCACGCCTTGTAGCCTGTGGCTGTGCACTAGCCATGGCTTCCGTGGTGCACCAGCGCTGTTGCTCTTGGAGCACAATGGCTTTGTGGGCCACTAGGTCTCCCCTTCCCCGCCCACAGGACAGGTGGCCTCCAACAGATGAGGCCCCTTTGTCGCCTTGGCCCTCCGGGTAGAGGAGCCCAGAGAGCTCAGCTGTGGTCATCAGGGTCCCAGTGTCCCTCGTTGTGCGGGCTGGGCAATGCCTGGCCTCTAGTGGGCCTGGCTCACACAACCTGGACCGGCTCTGCAGGGCCACAGTGCACCCTGTGTGGATTCCGCCAGTCCTGCTCTGGACCCCCTCTACACTGCCGATTGGGGCCGTCCAGGTGCCCAGTGGTGGGTCCTGGGTCCCAGTTCTGTTGATTCTGAGTGCGACTCCACTCAGTGCCCTGCAGATCCATCTGCCCCACCCCAAGACCCAGACGGCCAGTGCTTTGCCTCTGTGCCGTGAGGTCCTCCTTGGGGCCCCACTGCTGCCTGCCTCTGCCCACATGCACATCTGCTCCCAACGGTTCTGGACCTGGTATCCCTGGGGACCGGGTGCTGCCTAGTCTCGGTTTGGTTCCTGCTCCCAGGGGCCGCCACTCATCCCTGCCCTGGTGACATTTCCCTGGGTCTTGCATTGGCGGACTTGTTGGGCGGGGTTGCGGGAGGCCTGGCGAGGGGAGGCGTTCCCGGCCAGGGGCTGTGCTTGTCTTTGCTAGGTGCTTGGGTGCTACCCCTGGAGCAGCGTTCTGGCTGGTTTCTCAAACGTGGGTGGTGCGTGTGAAACCGTCCTGTGAGGTTTGGCCTCAGATTCTCGGAGACACTCGCCGTTCACCTGGAGCCTCGTGCCGTGCTGCCCTGGGCCTCCCGACCTCCGTTCTGCAGCTTCCCCAGCCTCCTGTCCCTTCCAGCCTCCTGTCCCTTCCAGCCTCCTGTCCCTCCCTGCCTCCTGTCCCTCCCAGCCTGCAGCTCCGACAGGGAGCCCTGCCCGACCTGCGTGTGTGCTGTTCTGTATGCCTGACTGCCGTGGCGGGCCGGGCGAGTCGCAGCTGAGTGGATGCCCCTGCCCACCCTTCGCTCTCAGCTGAGGGGTGGCACGCTCCCGCTGTTCCTTGTCTTGGAGCAAGGTCAGAAAGGACAGCTTCAGGCCGCGTGTGAGCACGCTGGGCAGCGGAAGGCGCACCAGGCCCTGCAGCAGCTCGGGGCCGCCGGAGGCGCAGTGGCTGGGAGAGGCCGTCTCCCGCTCCTTGCATGGGGAGTGCTGGCAGTTCTTGGGGTCCTGTGCTCCCCCTCTTACAGACCCTGCCTGCAGACGCCGTCCCCACACTGACTCCCACCAGTTCCTGGTTCTGGCCGTTTCGTTCTTTCTGTCTGCCCCATGTTTCCCATCCCGGATTCCTCTGCTGCTCAGTGTCTTACCACCTTGGATGACCTAACCCTGGCTTGCTGACAGCGGTGGCTCGTCCATTCCTTTCTTCAGTTGCTGTGTTTTCGAGTCAGAGAAAATTTTTTTTTTTAAATAAGATTTATCTTTATTGGAAAGTCACATATGCAGAGAGGAGGAGAGACAGAGAAGAAGATCTTCCATCCGCTGATTCACTCCCCAAGTTGCCACAACAGCCAGAGCTGTGCTGATCTGAAGCCAGGAGCCAGGAGCTTCTGGGTCTCCCACACGGGTACAGGGTCCCAAGGCTTTGGATCATCCTTGACTGCTTTCCCAGGCCACAGGCAGGGAGCTGGATGGGAAGCAGGGCTGCTGAGATTAGAACTGGTGCATGCAAGACGAGGACTTTAGCTGCTAGGCTACCGCGCTGGGCCCTGGAAAGGCACAATTTTACAGAGAAAAGGAGAAACAAGCTTCTTCCGGGTCTCCCCTGTGGGTGCAGGGTCCCACGGCTTTGGGCCGTTCTCTGCTGTTTTCTCAGACCATTAGTGGAGAGCTGGGTGGGAAGTAGAACAGCTGGGACATGAACCAGTGCCTATATGGGATTCTGGCACTTGCAGGTTGAAGGCCAGCCTGTTGAGCCACTGCGCCAGCCTCCCGGTGTTGGTCACGTCACGTGAGCCTTGCAGCCTGGGTCCTGCGCGGCCCTGTGCCCATGCCCTCATTCCTGTGACTTTGGACTCGGCAGCAGACACGCCTGAGGAACCTGAGGCTGGAGCTGGCCTGGGTTTAGAAGCCTCTATCCTTGGGCCATGGGAGGTTGGAGCAAGCACTGGGCCTCAGCTCTGCTTGGCGTCACAGCGACTTCTCCCGGGTCTCGGCCTCCCCAGGGGCTTGCCCGTCCCTCGGCAACGGCTCCCGCGTGGGAAGATTCCAGACTCCCAGCCCCGTGCCGTGCCTGGAATGTCAATCGCCCAGGGAGGAAGGGCTGCCGAGCGTTCTGGCAGCCCCGTCTCCGGATCTGGCCTTCAGTAGCTCCGGCCTTCAGGCTCAGTGAATGCTTTGTCCTGGTCTGGCGGGGGCTGGCTGGCCCTCCCGCCCCTGCTGCCGGGACATACTGAGTCCCAGCTCTAAATCCTCCTGGTGGATAGAAGTCATCCAGCCCGTGCCTTTCCCAGCACATGCTCTCTGTCAGCCCCCACCGGCCCCTTACTCTGTGCTGGCCCCACTGGTCCCCTTGCCCGCATGCTATCTCCACCAGCCCCTTGCCCTGTGTTGGCCCCACTGGCCCCTTGCCCTGTGCTGGCCCCACTGGTCCCTTGCCCTGTGCTGGCCCCACTGGCCCTTTGCCCTGTGCTATCCCCACAGGTCCCCTCACCCATGTACTGGCCCACTGGCCCCCTTGCCTGCATGCTATCCCCACCAGCCCCTTGCCCTGTGTTGGCCCCACCGGCCCTTTGCCCTGTGCTATCCCCACAGGTCCCCTCGCCCACGTACTGGCCCATTGGTCCCCTTGCCCTGTGCTGGCCCCCACCAGCCCCTTGCCCTGTGTTGGCCCCACTGGCCCTTTGCCTGTGCTATCCCCACAGGTCCCCTCGCCCACGTACTGGCCCACTGGTCCCCTTGCCTGTGCTGGTCCCACTGGCCCCCTTGCCTGCTGGTTCCAGGCTTTGTGTCATGTGTGGGGGCTGCTGGGTTACTGTCGTCTTTGTTCCCACCAGATGCCGTTGAGAATCAGTCGGGCCTGGCAGCCGCAGGGCTATGCTGAGGTTGCACAGCTGGCCCTGGGGAGGTCATGGCATCGGGCAGTGCTGAGCCAGTCACTTCTTTCATCAGTACCTCCTTTCCCCTCTGACCCCTCCTGTGTTGGTACCTGGCTTTTCTTGGTCTGAGCCTGCAGGCTTTTTCGTAGGGGTGCTATGCCGGCAGCCCTAACTGGGTCCAGCCCCTTTGTGGGGTTTGGGACTTGGTTGTTCCCTTCTCCATCTGCACGTGGAGGCTGCTCCTGCACACTGGGCCCATCACTGCGTGGTGGGGCTCCTCCTTGGGGCTGGCAGGAGTCCTAGTACAGTGCTAGTGGATTTCGGAGACGTGTCTAATCTCTGCTCCCTTGGATGCCTCTAGTGATGGAGGGCTGACCACCTAACAGGCACTGAGTCTGCTCAGAGAGCAGTAGGTGAGGGTCTCGAGTGGGCTTCCACTCTGTGCCCATGGGCATGTGCCCATCTGCCACAGAGACCTGGCCATGCCACAGCTACTCTGTGCTCGATGGGGGGGTGTTTTGCAGCTTTCCCCCAAACCTCAGGTCCTGAAAGCAAAACGCTCTCAGGGTATCGACCCTGACCCTGCCACTTGGCTGATCTGTTACTGAGGGGCCTGGTCAGCCAGCTGGCATAATGGCCGGCTGGGGTCAGGCCCTGACTGCAGCACATGTGGATTCATCGTGATGCACGGGCTGCCTGTCCTGCAGCTGCGCGGGCTCTCTGCAGCCAGACACTGCTGGAGATGTCACCTTCTGTCCGTGCTGACGCGGAGGCTGCACCACCGCCGCGCTCCCAGGGAGCAACCCGAGAGGAGGGGTCAGGACATTTCCGGAACATGTTTCACCTTGGATGGTCCAGATGCTTTGGCGTGGCTCAGTGCTTGCTGCTGAGGCCTGACACAGCCCTGGCGTGGGTCTACCTGCTCTGCCTCTGGGGTCCTTGCCGTGAGGGATGGCCCCTTTCCCCCAGGTTGTCTAACAGGGAGCGAAGGGGTGGTTTCAGCTGTATCCAAGTCTGCCCTTACTTCCTCTTTCCTTCTCTGGCAGGTGTGCCCGCTGCTTCTGGGAGTGACCGACCAGGGCCGCAGGGATGGCTGGGGCCTCGGTGAAGGTGGCGGTGCGTGTCCGCCCCTTCAACTCCCGGGAAATGAGCCGCGACTCCAAGTGCATCATTCAGATGACTGGGAGCACCACCAGTGAGTACCTGCGGCACAGGGCCCTGGCAGCCTTTGGGGACACCAGGTGGCCTGTGGGGTCACTGGGTGACCTGTAGGGACACTGGGCAGGCTGAGGGGACACTGGGCAACCTGCAGGATCATTGGGTGGCCTGTGGGGTCACTTGGCGGCCTGAGGGGACACTGGGTGGCCTGTGGGGTCACTGGGTGGCCTGCAGGGTCATTGGGTGGCCTGCGGGGATGCTGGGCAGCCTGAGAGGACACCAAGCAACCTACAGGGCCATCGGGCAGCCTGCTGGTTCTCACTGGCCAGCCTGGCCCGGCCCTGTGAGCCTAGATTCCCAGGAGCCCTGTCCAAGTGGGGCGCGAGCGACCCACAGCTACCATAGCAGAACCTCCTTAAGTGCAAATTCCCTCATGTGGGAGGGCTCTGCAGGGCTGGGCCCCACAGTGCTAGGAGGGGCCTCCACTCTCCACCAAGCCAGCCTGGCCACCTCACATGGGGCCTCTTCTCACATGTGTCCCGATGCTGTCATGGCTGTCGGACAGGGACACTGGTCCAGCCTCTCCTGTGGGATACCCCCCAGGACCCTTGGTCTGTAGCTTTGTCCTATTTTGGCTTCCTGGAGGGGTTGGCTCCCCTGACTGCTGTCTCAGGTAGGGGGCCCGGAGTGACAGCAGTGGGAGAATCAGGGGGAACTGGAGGGAAACTCCTGGTGGAGGAAAGCAGAGGGGGGAGGCTGGCGGGTCCCAGATATCAGAGAGCCTGCACCTTGAGGGCAGGTGTGGGCAGAATCCCGCAAATGGGAGGTGGGGTGGCCTCCACCTGACCTGTGCTCACGCTCTCTCAGGGCCAGTCTCTATTTCTCTCTCTCTGTTGGACTTTGGCCCAATCGGGGCAGGCCCTGGAGTGGAGAGCCAGCCTGGATGTCTAGCTCCTGGCTGCCCTGTCCATCTCCGACCTCCCTCTGGCCAGCCTGCCCCTCAGTAGGTCCTGGGAATGGGAGGGGGCGTGGGGGTGTGGGGCATGGCAGTGTGGGGGTGTAGGGGTCCTGGTGGCGTGGGGGTGTGGGGGCATTGGGGCAGCTGCCTGTCTGTCCCTTTCCCAACTGTGGAGCTGTTGGCAGGCAGTCAGGTCAGGGGCGGGGCCTGGCTCTGGTGACCTGGGGACAGGCGGTCCCTTCTGGAGCTCAGGGCCCCGTCTGAAATGACAGGTGGAGATGGGGCAGTGTCCCAGTGGGTTCTGGCCTTTGGGTCTCTTCTGGGGGTCCCCATGGCCCACAGTGTGAGTAGAGTCGTGGCCCATCCTTGAACACCACCTGTCCCTGGGAGACTGTTACACACTGGGGAGCCTGGGGACCTTTGGGGATCAGCAGATACCCAGTGCCAGGATTCCATGGAGCAGGGCCAGAGCCTCCAATGGGACCACAGCTGAAGGTGGGAATTTGGCTGGTCAGGGGCTGTGGTTATGGTGCAGGGAGACGAGGAGTTGAGGTTGCCAGACACAGGCGTTGGCACTGTGATCTCGTTTCCAGGGCACTGACCCATCCGTGCTTGGGCTCTGTGGCTGCTGCCACTGGGTCCAGTGGGGCTGAGGACGCCCCTCCCAGGTGGCCAGCAGACAGGGCTGTGCTGGTGGTCAGCCATCTACCCCCCCCCCCCCGCTGGGCAGCGGGGATGGTCTGTCAGCTGTCCCTTCCTGCTGGCTGCCTGTGGGAGGTGGACTTCCAAAGCCAGGTTGGGAATGGGAAGGATCTGCAGCTAACCCTGATCCTAACTTGGCCATCACAGGGGTCCAGGGATGTGCCTGGAGTGGACTAGACTGGCAAGGGCAGGCGTGTCACCCAGGACATTGGTGAACTGCCTGGAAGGTGTGGCTCATACCACGCGAAGTGACGAGTGTGGGTCCTGGGATCTAGGGTCTGGGAACTGGCTCTGTCTCAGGCTGCAGGGATGGGAGTAGCCCCGGCCCCCTCCATTGGCTGTTGGGTCAGGGGTCCTTTGCTCCTCAGTTTGTAGTCCCCCCACCCAGTTCTCATGGCCCTCTCTGGGTGTGTGTCTGCACATGCCCTTTTGAAAAGTCCCTGGACACACCTGCAATGACCCCACCTCCACGCAGGCCCCACGTGGACGTGCAGGGGTTGGGACTTCAGTGTGTGGGTTTTGGGGACACTACTCAGGCCACAACTGGGGAGGGGTCTTATTTCCCTGGTGTGGTGGCAGACACAGCCCACCTCCTCAGCTGGTGTGCGGGGAGCCTCCTGCAGGCTGCCCAGCTCACATTGGCTGGGTAAGTTGTCCAGGGCCAGGCAGACCCCGCCTTTATGTGGGGCAGACATGGGACCTCACCCTCCAGATTTGGTGCTGTGATGGGGGCTCCTCGGGGCCACGGCTCTCCCAGACCAGGATGGCCCAGTTTGCTCTTAGGAGTGAGGGCCAGGATGGGGGTGACCTGGCCCGGGGAGCCTTGGGGTTTCCACCCACCTGGGCCACTGGGATGGGCAGGCAGCCCGCTGGGCAAGGTGCCCGTGTCCCCTGCACATGGTCCTTGAAGGTCTGCTGTCTGCTGTGTCTGGGCTTGTATGGGGCGTGGCAGTGCTGGGCAGGGACGGAAGCTGGTGGCAGGGCTGGCTCTGGGGCTAGTTGAGCCCCGTAGGAGAGCTCCTGGGTCCCCTGGGAGGCACCTGTTTCTGGACTTGGAGCTAGGTAGTGGAGAAGGAGAAAGGTGGGGGGGAGGAAGACAGTTCCATAGAGCTAGGCCATAGAGAACAAGGGGCACCTAGTGGGGGGGGGTTGCTGTGGTCCCTAGTGGGGGGGGATGCTGTGGTCCCTGGTGTGTGGGGGTTCTGTGGTCTCTGGTGGGGGGGTACTGTAGTCCCCGATGGGTGGGGATGCTGTGGTCTCTGGTGGGGGGGGGTGCTGTGGTCCCTGGTGTGTGGGGGTGCTGTGGTCCCTGGTGTGGGGGTGCTGTAGTCCCTGATGGGTGGGGATGCTGTGGTCTCTGGTGGGGGGGGTGCTGTGGTCTCTGGTGTGTGGGGGTTCTGTGGTCCCTGGTGGGTGGTGGGTGCTGTGGTCTCTGGTGTGGGGGTGTTGTGGTCCCTGGTGGGTGGGGATTCTGTGGTCCCTGGTGGTGGGATGCTGTGGTTCCGGGGGGTGGGGTCTGTGGGCCCTGGTGGTGGGTGCTATGGTCCCTGCTGTGTGTCACTGGGGCTGATACAATGGCCAATGCAGCATGGCTAAGTCCAGGTGGCCAAGCTCAGGGCTCAGACATGCAACGCAGGAGCATTAGCAGCAGGGCTGGGAGGGGAGTAGGAGACAGGGTGGACACCCCAGACCAAGTGTCTGCAGCAGGACCCTTTCTGGTGTTCTCCACAGCCCCAGGGGACTCAGCCAGGGGACCCTGGGCACTCCAGGCCTGCATGGTGTCGCAGCATGTGTGGCCGTGGGTCCACTATGGGCTCAGAGCTGGGTCTCCTCCAGCTGGGCTAGAAACCAAGGCCCCCCCTGCCCCCGGGGTGTGGACTTGGTGTTAATCACCTGCTGTGTGTCTCCTGCAGCCATCATTAACCCCAAACAGCCCAAGGAGACACCCAAGAGCTTCAGCTTCGACTACTCCTACTGGTCACACACGTCGGTGAGCTGCTCCCTCTCCTTGTCCCCTGGTCCCTGGAATAGGGCTGGGAATCCTCCCTTCTGCTGGCCCTGACCCCATGGTTCCTGTAATAGGGCCAGGGACCTCTCTTCTGCCAGCCCTGACCCCATGGTCCCTGTAATAGGGCCAGGGACCTCTCTTCTGCCGGCCCTGATCCCACGACCCCCGTAACAGGGCAGGCATCTCCCTTCTGCCGGCCCTGACCCCGTGGTCCCTGGAACAGGGATGCCGAGGTCTACTGGAGTATTGATCATTTTGTTTGGCACCCCATCCAACATTACCAGCTCAAAAACAGCCCACTGGAGCGTAACTGAATTTAGGAGTCTACTGCAGCTGTCTTAGCAGGGCCAGGCCTGGTGATCTGGGGGCTTTCTGTTACCTGTGGCTAAACCCCTCCATGTCTGTTTGGGAGAGAAGCAGTCCCCACCAAGTTCCCTCTGGCCCCCAGAGCAGCCCCCAGGGCACCCTACTTTGATCCACCCTGTCCAACATGTCCTGTTGCCAGGGAGACTCCTGCCCTTACCATGCTGTCCTCGCTGCCCTCGTGTCCAGATGCCCACTGGGTCCATGGGTCCTGACTCCTACTGCCCTGTCCTCACTGTCAGCCTGAACAGACTTTGGCTTTGAGCTCTTGTCTCTGGGCCTTTGTACACGTGTTCCCTCTGCTGGAACCCCCTTCCTCCCTGCCCTACCTGGTCCAGCCAGCTGCTCCTCAGCCCTCACCTGTGACCCATGTGGCCACTGTGAGCTGAGCTGCGTCCCCTCTGTCCCCCAGCCAGAGGACATCAACTACGCCTCGCAGAAGCAGGTGTACCGGGACATCGGCGAGGAGATGCTGCAGCACGCCTTCGAGGGCTACAACGTGTGCATATTCGCCTACGGGCAGACGGGGGCCGGCAAATCCTACACCATGATGGGCAAACAGGAGAAAGACCAGCAGGGCATCATCCCACAGGCATGGCGCTGGGCTGGGGACTGAGGGATAGCAGATGGGTAGCAGGGAGGTGCTCGTGTGCAAACGGGTCCTCACAGGAGCCTGGCCTGGGTCGCAAGACGGAGCTGCTGGCTGGGCAGCTCTTCTCGGGGGAACTGGGAGGGACAGGAGCCCAGGACCAGGAGGGAGCAGGCATCTCAGGTTCCGTCCTCCCCAGCCCGGTCCCTGGCTGTCTTTGGTTCTGAGCTGGCCAAGACTCAGCCTGGTTGGGGAAGGGAGACCACACCCCAGCTCTGTAGGGTGAGGGACAGGTTCAAGTCAACAGACACGGGCTCCTTGCCCACAGGCCTAGGTGCCTCTGGGCTGGGTGAATGTGGGTGCTGGAATTGGAGGGGCTAGTGAGTGGTAGCCCCCGGTCTGGGCTTCCAGACTGCTCATCTCTGCTAACCGAATCTCCTCCTCAGCTCTGCGAGGACCTGTTCTCCCGAATCAATGACACGACCAACGACAACATGTCCTACTCCGTGGAGGTAGGGCTCTGCCTGCCTCACCTGCTCAGCCCCCGGGCCCTGGCCATGCCAGCACAGGAGCCGAGGGCCATCCCATGTTCACGGGCCAGTGTTGAGCAGCCTGGCCCGACTGTGCGGTGGCTGAGGTGGCCCTGGGGTGACCATGTGGGGCATGAGCAAGTCCTAGGACAGCATGGGTAGGAGGGGCTGGCACCCATGCTGCTCACACTCAGGCAGCTTCTGTGGCCCCACCTGCACTGGGGACCCTCTGCTGGGCTCCGCCATCCAGCAGGAGGCCAAGTACCCCTACCAGGGATCCCTGCTGGCTTAACCCCTACATCCTCCACCCTGGGGGTCCCTGCTGGCCTAGCCTCTCTATCTCCTACCCTGAGGGTCCCAGCTGGCCTAGCCTCCTACACTCTCCACTCTTGGGGGTCCCTGCTGGCCTGGCCTCTTATACCCTCCACTCTGGGGGTCCCTGCTGGCCTAGTCTCTAAATCTCCTACCCTGGGGGTCCCTGCTGGCCTAGCCCCCCACATCCTCCACCCTGGGGGTCCCTGCTGGCCTAGCCTCTATATCTCCTACCCTGGGGGTCCCAGCTGGCCTAGCCTCCTACACTCTCCACTCTTGGGGGTTCCTGCTGGCCTAGCTCCCACTCTCTCCCACCCTAGGGTCCCAGCTGGCCTAGTCCACATTCCTCCCCTGCCCAGGGTCTCTGATGGCAGGCTCTTGCCCTTCAGGTCAGTTACATGGAGATCTACTGTGAGCGAGTCCGCGACCTTCTGAACCCCAAGAACAAGGGCAACCTTCGTGTGAGGGAGCACCCTCTCCTGGGGCCCTACGTGGAGGACCTGTCCAAGTTGGCTGTGACCTCCTACAATGACATCCAGGACCTCATGGACTCTGGGAACAAGGCCAGGTGTGTGGGGGAAGGAGGCCCACCCCCCCCCCGCCCCAAGCCTCTTTAGGGAAACCTGCTTGTCCTGACCTGGCCTTAGGGATCGGTCAGTGTCCTTCTGGTATCCCCCCAAGGTCTCTTGTGTCTGAGGCTGACCCAGAGAGGTCTTTGGGGGCCTCTGCCTTCCTTTAGGGCCTGCAGCTCTGTGACCACTGACCCTGGCTGGTACAAGAGCGTCTGTTTACTGCCTTGATTAGGTTATCTATCCTGAGGGGTGGCTACCCTGCCCGGCCTGGGCACCAGGAGACTGTGTGGCTGCTTGGCTGGACCTCCGGGGGTGTTGGGGCAGCACTGGCTGTCAGCAGCCACCATCCCCTCTCTGCCACCTAAAGCCTTCCTGTTCCCAGGGTGGAGGAGGGCGCCCTTCCTGTCCGGGCTCAGCATAACCTTGCCATGGCCTCCTGGGGCAGGCGGGGCAGGGTCCCTCAGAGACTCCTGGGGCCTGGCAGGTCAGGCAGCACACGCTGCTGACCCCTGTCTCCTGGGCTGGGCTCCTGGTTACCACAGTGAAGGCAGAGGAGTCGCTTGTCTGCTAGGGGTGTGCTCCAGCTCTCCTGCCAGCACCACCTGGGGGCCTCAGCAGCATCAGCGCCCCCCAGTGAGCCAGGCAGGGCTGGGGGCTGGGACATCACAGTAGGAGGGCGGTGCAGTCTTGGCTGATCTCTGGGGGCACCGTCACTGCCAGCTGGCCAGGGAGCCTGCGAGTTGGCGACGCCAAGGCCCAGTGACTTGTGCCTGTGGGCTGGACGAGGGGCAGCCACGTGGGGCTTATGTTCCCAGGACGGTGGCGGCAACGAACATGAATGAGACGAGCAGCCGCTCCCACGCTGTATTCAACATCATCTTCACGCAGAAGCGCCATGATGCTGAAACCAACATCACTACAGAGAAAGTGAGTGCCCCGGAGGTGTGGGTCAGGGGCAGGGTGTGGGCGCGTGAAAGGACTGGCCAGTCAGGGCAGGGCCAGATGAGAATGCCAGACCACGTGCTAACCCTGAGGTGCAGCTGGGTCCTGGCAGGATCTGCATCTCAGAATGGGAGGTGCCACTTGAAGGGGCTGCGGAGCTGACACCGGCTTTCCACCCTGTGTGGAGGCTGTGGGGTCACTGCCGAGGTGTCCCAGGGGCCGTGCCCCAGCACAGCCCTGCAGGCCAAGGATGGCCTGGGGAGCCCTTGGAGCATGCCAGCTCTAGGGGTGAGCTGGGGTCTCCAGAGAGCAGCAGCTGTGCAGGCCTGCCTGCCCCCAGAGCCCTTCCCTCTGCCTCGGCATCCTCTGGCCCTGGGCACTGGGTGGGACCTTGTCTCCTGGCCCTTCTTCTGGATGTCCAGGCTGTGGCTTCTGGAAGAGGTGCCGGGCTTCTTGCTGCCTGTGTCGGATGTTGCCTACTGCTCCTGCTTCCCGGGCCTTTTTCCTGGGGTTCTCAAACCCCCCCCTCCCTGAGGCTGGGCTCCTTTTGGTACCACCCTGGGCTCCGCAGAGTTGGGAAGCTCTTGTGGTCCTTTCCAGCTCTGAGTCACCCCCGCCTGGTGCTACCCCCTTACCTTTGAGGCAGGGAGGGTAAGCTGGTGCAGGCTGTGGGCCCTGAGGCCAGTGGCTGGGCAAAGCTGGATCCCAGGCCAGCCAGGCTGCGCTGCTTGCCCTGTCTCCCTCGGTGGCCTCAGTGGCTGGGGCTGAAGTCACACTGGACCCTCCTGGGATGCGTGTGTCCCTCAGCCCAAGCTGAGGGAGCTATTGCAGGGAGCCTGGCCAGAGCTCAGCTGGCACTAGGTGAGCCATGCCCATAAGGCAGTGGGCAGTGGAGCTGTGTTTCAGTCCCAGTGGTCATAAGTGTTTCACTCATGGGCAGCAGGGGGTGGTGCCTGACGGCTGGAAGCAAGGCCACCTGGGCAAGAGTCTGTAGCTGGTGGGGAGGTGCTTGGCACCGCTCAGCCCTGCAGCTCAGCAGGGTGCCAGGGTGCTCCCAGAGGTCTGTGGGGCCAGAAGCCCCTGACCCCAGGGAGACCATGACCTGTGAGGCCAGGCATCCTGTAAAACGTGGTGACAACCCCAGCACTTGATGCATTTGCCATTTCAGGTCAGCAAAATCAGCCTGGTGGACCTGGCCGGGAGTGAGCGGGCTGACTCCACGGGAGCCAAGGGCACACGCCTTAAGGTAGGGCTGTTCCCGGGCCCCGCCCTGCTCCTGCCCTCTGCCTGAGCCGGGCCTGCTTCGGTGGGGCAGAGTGAGCAGAGGGCCAAGCCGGATCTGCTGATGTCCCGGCCGTCTCTTGCACAGGAGGGGGCCAACATCAACAAGTCGCTGACCACCCTGGGGAAGGTCATCTCGGCCCTGGCTGAAATGGTGAGCTGGAGGAGGGGACGACCTGGCTACCTCCCTGTCCTGCTCTTGTAAGACTCTGAGACCCTGCCACCCCATTCCTAGGCCCTCATGCTGGCAAGGCAGCTGGGCTTCAAGAGAAAGCCCAGCAGTTGGGGTGGGAGTGTCACAGGTTGCATGGAAGGTTAGGTCCTTACCACTGCCCACCTGTCTCTTCCTGTGGTCCTCACACTGCCTGTGTCTTCTCTTCCAGGACTCCGGGCCCAACAAGGTGAGCTGCCTGTGAGGGCTGAGCCCTGGGCCAGGGTGGCCTCAGCCCAGCTGTTCCTCTGGGAGCACTCGTTTGTTCAGTTGGCCAGGACGGGAGCCTGGCTGGAGCTGGGCCCTGTGTGAATGGCGGGGGCCCTGGAGGCTGGCAGGTCAGGGTCAGTGATTCCCTGCGCTGTGGGGGAGGCAGACAGCAACACAGACTGATAAAGACAGGATCGCACAGTGGGGTGCCTCCCCTGAAGACAGCGAGCTGTGAGGACACCGCTTCCGGTTGAGCGGAGGGTACAGTGGGGAACGTGCAGCAGCTGAAGAAGAGAGGGTGGGCAAGCCCCGAGACCAGACTGCAAGGAGTGAGCGTGAGCAGAGGGCAGCAAGTGAGAAGTGTCATGCACGTGTGGGAGCTGTGTGGGGAAGCATGAAGGTGAGTGAACCGTGGATGGTGTGACGCTGTGTGGGGCTTGGGGGCCGACGCACTGGGAGGTGATGGCACTGTGGCAGCCGTGTAGGGCTGTGAAATGCTGTGTGAGGAAGTGTAACGGACAGGGTGGGAATTCTGACGGACCGTGAAATGTGTGGTGAAGTGTGACAGGACAGCATGGGTAGGTGTGAAACCAGCTTGGGAACTGAGTCAGGAGCTGTGTGTGGAAGGGAAAAAATTGTGAGGGGATGTGTGAGAAACTGTGCCAGGTGGTACGGCCTGTGAGGATGTGTGGGGAGCAGGGAAGAAGGTGAGCTGTGAGAGGACCCAGTGGGGTCTCTGAGGGCATGAGATCCTCTGAGGAGTGGGGGGGGGAAGCAGCAGCAATGCGACTAGTGTAAGCAGTGGTATGAGGATCCCTACGGAGTGTGAGGATTCCTGACGGAGTGTGAGGATCCCTGATGGAGTGTGAGGATTCCTGATGGAGTGTGAGGATTCCTGACGGAGTGTGAGGATTCCTGATGGAGTGTGAGGATTCCTGATGGAGTGTGAGGATTCCTGATGGAGTGTGAGGATTCCTGATGGAGTGTGAGGATTCCTGATGGAGTGTGAGGATCCCTGACGGAGTGTGAGGATTCCCGATGGAGTGTGAGGATCCCTGATGGAGTGTGAGGATTCCTGATGGAGTGTGAGGATTCCTGATGGAGTGTGAGGATTCCTGATGGAGTGTGAGGATTCCTGGTAGAGTGTGAGGATCCCTGATGGAGTGTGAGGATTCCTGATGGAGTGTGAGGATTCCTGGTAGAGTGTGAGGATCCCTGATGGAGTGTGAGTATTCCCGATGGTGTGAGGATTTCCGATGGAGTGTGAGGATTCCCGATGGAGTGTGAGGATTCCTGATGGAGTGTGAGGATCCCTGATGGAGTGTGAGGATTCCTGATGGAGTGTGAGGATCCCTGATGGAGTGTGAGGATTCCCGATGGTGTGAGGATTTCCGATGGAGTGTGAGGATTCCCGATGGAGTGTGAGGATTCCTGATGGAGTGTGAGGATCCCTGATGGAGTGTGAGGATCCCTGACGGAGTGTGAGGATCCCTGATGGAGTGTGAGGATTCCCGATGGTGTGAGGATTCCTGATGGAGTGTGAGGATTCCCGATGGAGTGTGAGGATTCCTGATGGAGTGTGAGGATTCCTGATGGAGTGTGAGGATTCCTGATGGTGTGAGGATTTCCGATGGAGTGTGAGGATTCCCGATGGAGTGTGAGGATTCCCGATGGAGTGTGAGGATTCCTGATGGAGTGTGAGGATTCCTGATGGAGTGTGAGGATTCCTGATGGAGTGTGAGGATCCCTGACGGAGTGTGAGGATCCCTGATGGAGTGTGAGGATTCCCGATGGTGTGAGGATTCCTGACGGAGTGTGAGGATTCCCGATGGAGTGTGAGGATTCCTGGTAGAGTGTGAGGATCCCTGCTGGAGTGTGAGGATTCCTGACGGAGTGTGAGGATTCCTGACGGAGTGTGAGGATCCCTACGGAGTGTGAGGATTCCTGACGGAGTGTGAGGATTCCTGACGGAGTGTGAGGATTCCTGACGGAGTGTGAGGATTCCTGATGGAGTGTGAGGATTCCCGATGGAGTGTGAGGATTCCTGGTAGAGTGTGAGGATTCCTGACGGAGTGTGAGGATCCCTGATGGAGTGTGAGGATTCCTGATGGAGTGTGAGGATTCCCGATGGTGTGAGGATTCCTGACGGAGTGTGAGGATTCCCGATGGAGTGTGAGGATTCCTGACGGAGTGTGAGGATTCCTGGTAGAGTGTGAGGATTCCTGGTAGAGTGTGAGGATCCCTGGTGGAGTGTGAGGATTCCTGACGGAGTGTGAGGATTCCTGACGGAGTGTGAGGATTCCTGACGGAGTGTGAGGATTCCTGACGGAGTGTGAGGATTCCTGGTAGAGTGTGAGGATCCCTGGTGGAGTGTGAGGATTCCTGATGGAGTGTGAGGATTCCTGACGGAGTGTGAGGATTCCTGATGGAGTGTGAGGATTCCTGATGGAGTGTGAGGATTCCTGATGGAGTGTGAGGATTCCTGGTGGAGTGTGAGGATTCCTGATGGAGTGTGAGGATCCCTGATGGAGTGTGAGGATTCCTGGTGGAGTGTGAGGATTCCTGATGGAGTGTGAGGATTCCTGGTGGAGTGTGAGGATTCCTGGTGGAGTGTGAGGATCCCTGATGGAGTGTGAGTGTTCCCGATGGTGTGAGGATTCCCGATGGTGTGAGGATTCCCGATGGAGTGTGAGGATTCCTGATGGAGTGTGAGGATTCCTGGTGGAGTGTGAGAATCCCTGATGGAGTGTGAGGATTCCCGATGGAGTGTGAGGATCCCTGACGGAGTGTGAGTGTTCCCGATGGTGTGAGGATTCCTGATGGAGTGTGAGGATTCCCGATGGAGTGTGAGGATCCCTGATGGTGTGAGGATTCCTGATGGAGTCTGAGGATTCCTGACGGAGTGTGAGGATTCCTGATGGAGTGTGAGGATTCCCGATGGAGTGTGAGGATTCCTGATGGTGTGAGGATTCCTGATGGAGTCTGAGGATTCCTGACGGAGTGTGAGGATTCCTGACGGAATGTGAGGATTCCTGATGGAGTGTGAGGATCCCTGATGGAGTGTGAGGATCCCTGATGGAGTGTGAGGATCCCTGATGGAGTGTGAGGATTCCTGATGGAGTGTGAGGATCCCTGATGGAGTGTGAGGATCCCTGATGGAGTGTGAGGATCCCTGATGGAGTGTGAGGATTCCTGATGGAGTGTGAGGATTCCTGGTGGAGTGTGAGGATTCCTGACGGAGTGTGAGGATTCCTGACGGAGTGTGAGGATTCCTGATGGAGTGTGAGGATTCCTGATGGAGTGTGAGGATTTCCGATGGAGTGTGAGGATTCCTGATGGAGTGTGAGGATTCCTGACGGAGTGTGAGGATTCCTGATGGAGTGTGAGGATCCCTGATGGAGTGTGAGGATCCCTGACGGAGTGTGAGGATTCCTGATGGTGTGAGGATTCCTGGTGGAGTGTGAGAATCCCTGATGGAGTGTGAGGAGCCGTGTGGTTTGTGAAATTCCAAGTGATGTTGGGAGTTTTGTAGCAAGCATGGGATTGTGGAAGAACTTGAGGGGTTGTGGTAATGGTGTGTTGGAGGTGGTAATCGTGGAGGGATTTGTGCCTCCATGGTTCAGTTCAAAAGGCTTGTAAGAGGCATGTGAAAGGATTAGTGAAAACTCGGTGTGAAGGTGCTGTCTGGGTCTGCTGTGAAGGACATTTAAGAAATGCCGGTGGGGTGGTCATAGTCCCTGGAACAAAAGGGGGCTATGAGTGAGGAGCAGAGCCTGGATCCAGGGGTGATGGTCTGTGGACGATGGCTGAGGCCCGTTCTGAGGGAGGCAGAGCGGGACAGTGTCTGGGAGGTGGTAGGTCTGACCAATGATGGCTGCAGGGTGACAGAGGCTGATATGGACCGTGTAGGAGGCAGCCTATGCAGAGAGGTGGCCTTTGGGAATCTAGCAGTCCAAAGAGAGACTCTAGGTAAGCGTTTCCGTTGGCACTTTCCAAAGGAGAGACAGACAGCGGTTGCTGTGGATGAGTTCTCTGGGCTGGGCCCCCTTAGTTCATGGTTCATGAAATTCTAACAGTGTCCCAGACCCTCCTCACAGCATCTCCCAGCCCATGGTCCCTAGAAGTCAGTGGCTGTGCTGCTGGGAGACCTACTGAGTATGACATGGCAGTGGGCATGTGCACACAGTAGGAGGCGACACAGCCCTTGACATCTGCGTGCCCCTCATGGGTGAGGGTTCTGGGGTGGCAGCCATACCTACTGGCCACAATAGGAATAGAGCAGATGCTTAAGCCAGTGATGCACAGGCAGGTGGACGGCTGAGCAGTGCCTGGGTACCAGCTGTGAGGGAGTCACGTGCTCAGCCACAGAGCATCCCTAATGGGCATTCCCAGCAGCCGTGTCACGGCTGGGACTACATCTGGGGTGACCGTGGGCAGCTTCCTTGGACACTGTTGCATCCCTCTGACAGGAGAGGGAGGACACGGTGGCAGGAGATAGCAGCTGGCCTGGGTCCAGTTGCAGGTCCAGATCCTGCGGATGGGTCGGGGAGGCACCGAGGAACGCACTATGTGTCCCTGACTCTGGCCTGCAGAGCTGCCCCACTGGGCCGTGTCCCTGCCTCAGGCGTCGGGCAGCCACGTGCAGACCCCACAAGGCCCCCTTCCAGAAGCCACAGGGTTGAGCCTGGAGTTTCCTCCTCCACAGAACAAGAAGAAAAAGAAGACCGACTTCATCCCATACCGGGACTCCGTGTTGACCTGGCTGCTCCGGGAGAACCTGGGTGAGGCCCTCAGGCTCACGGCCCCCCAACCCCCCCAGTGCCGTAGGAAGGGGACCGGGGCGTCTCCTGCCCTTTCTGGACTTGGGCGGAGGTGAACCCAGAGATTCCGGGCAGTTAGGCATGCAGTCCTCTGAGGGCCTGGGCCTTTGTCTGACAAGAGGCGAGCTAGTCCGGAGAACCAGTACTCAGGGCCATGGGCACGCCTGCTGTGCCTGAGTTCTGGGGCGGGCAGCGGAGCTCCCAGGACTAGGGCCACCCCTCCTGGACCTAGTTTTTCAGCGTGGACGAGTCCCCCTGCCCCTTCACAGGGCTGTGGGCCAAACTGAGACCCTGCACCTCCCTGGCTGCACGGCTGGCCAGAGAGCCAATGCTCAGGGAGGTGGCTGTCCTGGCAATGGGGGTCTCGGGCCTCCCATCTCCGTGGCTATGGTACATAGCCACCTGGTCACCCGAACTGCAGTGCTGGGCCAGCAGGAGCCAGTGGCTCCTCTGAGAGGACAGGGTGTCCTGGGAAGGTGAGTCAAGAGTGACATGGGCACCAGGTCCCTTTGCCTCGGGGATATGTGTCTCTTGGCCCAGATGTGGCTGTGAGGCAAGCCTCGCCCAGGCTCAGTCCCAGGGTGGTCAGGGGCGACCTGATGTGGTCGTCCCACTGCCACCTGTCAGCTCCTTGGCCTCGTGGGGATGGCTGGAGCCATGCCCCAGGGACGTGGGCCTGAGGTCATATCCTTAAGGCAGCAGGTAGGATTGCTGTCTGGACCTGGAGCTTGGTCCGAGGGCTGGGCTGGGGCCAACACGGGGCCAGATTTGTCACTGCTGGCCCTGCAGGACTGCCCCCCAGCCCTCACTCAGCTGAGAAGGCTGCCTGGGCCCAGGTGGTCCAGGGCTGAGCCTGGGAGGCTCTGGTGTGCCCACAGGTGCCTGAGCACACAATAGCCTTGGAGTAAATGCGTCACAGCCCCAGCCCCACAGGAAGGGAGAGCAGGGGTGCATACAGAAAGGAGGGCCAAGCAGGGCTGGGTTGGGATGCGTGGGTATGTGTCATGACTCAGCCTACCTTTCTGCATCTCCCACTGGGATGACAACCCCACATGCACCGTCAGTGCTCCTGGCTTAGCCTGCTGTCCTCCTGCAGGTGGGAACTCGAGGACAGCCATGGTGGCCGCCCTGAGCCCAGCTGACATCAACTATGACGAGACCCTCAGCACCCTGAGGTGGGTGCTGGGGGTGGTGTGAGGGGCCGCCTCTGGGGGCACTCACTGGGTGGCCAGGCCCGGGCAGGGCTGTGAGAGCTCAGGTGTGGCCCACACCCTCGGCCTGGGCACCCAGGTATGCCGACCGGGCCAAGCAGATCCGCTGTAATGCTGTCATCAACGAGGACCCCAACAACAAGCTGATCCGTGAGCTGAAGGACGAGGTGACACGGCTGCGCGACTTGCTGTATGCCCAGGGGCTCGGCGACATCACCGACGGTGAGCGTCTGTGCTGCCCAGGTTGGGGGCCGCTCTCCTGGGACCCCACAGTACTGGCTGGACCGTGGATGCTGCTCTCCCAGTCCCTGTCCTGCTCCATGCCATGGGACCCAGCTGCCTCTGGAAGGAGCTCCCGGCAGGAGCCCTGGACCAGGCTGTATTTGCTGGCCTTGGCCAGCCGGAGCTATGTACTCTCGGTTTGGCACTGGCCTGAGTGGGCTAAAGACATAATCCCTGGAGGCCCCCATGGGGCTGCACGGCCGGCCCCCAAGCTGCCGGGCGTCCGAGCTCTGGGCTCCCAGCCTGCACTGGGTGCTGGCTGTGCGGGACAAACCTTTCTGTTTCTATCTCTCCTCGCTCCTCACGCCTGTCCCGCCCCGTAGCCAACACTGTGCCTGGAGGACCTAAATGTGTGTATTCCCCTTTGCCGCTCTGCATACCTGCTTCTGGCCCCACGTGGGCCCAGGACAGCACGGGGAGGGGAGGCAGCAGCCCCAGGCAGGCGGTCCTGCCACGGCCACTTTCGCCCATCCCAATGCCCTCCGGGTGGGCATATGATGGTGTCCGCCTCTGTAAGCTTGGGCCACCTGTCTGGACAGTGACTGAGAAACTGAGACACAAGGGAAGGGAGGATGTAACCAAGGCCTTCTAGGGTGACAGTGGCCGGTGCAAGGCCCTCTGACCCCTGTGCCCCCATGGCCTGACAGTCAGTGCCACAAGGCTGAAAGGGCAGAGGTTCTGACCTGCCCCAGGCCAAGGGCCTGCGTTCCTGAGCCCAAGGCCCCATCCCTTGATGGGCCATGAGCCGGTCTTGGCCCCACAGCCCAGCTGGTAGGTGTGTTGTGGCACTGTGGGGCGCTCCCGGGTCCTGCGTCTCAGGCCCTGCTTGGAAGGGCTCCCTCCCCAGCCCCGTGCTGCCCTGGGCTTGCTGCTGCTCTGTGTGCCTGCTTCTGTTGCTCTACTGTGTGCCTGCCTTCCACTCCAGGGGCGGCACAGCCCCCCTCCTGTGCCCTAGTGGGACTGTCAAGGCCTAGGGTGGTGGGGGTAGGGTCTGCCCTGGGGAACTGGCCCCTCTTTCAGACAGTGCCTGGGTGGCTTCCTTGCTCAGTAGGGCCATGTGCACTGCAGCCTGGCCCACTCCCCGGAGCACTGAGGGTGTGTATGAGCAGTGGACGCCACTCACAGAGGATGAGACTGAGCCTTGGGACTGCAAGGTGCAGGTGGCCTGGGGTGGCCGTGGCCAGGCAGTGGACGGGTGGGGCAATGGCCGGAGCCAGGTGTAGGGAGAGCAGATGTGGCTCGCGGCCTGCGGTGCAGAGGCAGCGTGTGCGCTGTGGGCCAGGCTGGGCGAGGGCAGCGGGCAGCTCTGCATGTGCTTGTCCCCGCCCGGGCAGGCCGTGGCCCTTGCTGTGCTGTGCTCTTGCCAACACCCCCCGGCCCTACCTGCCGCTGTTTCCCAACTTGGTCTCTCTTCTTTCTCCTCCCGTCGGTTCGGCCACCCGGCCTTCCCTTCCCCTCGCAGACATGTCCGACCTTGAGAACAATAACCACAGCCGTGGCGGGGCGCCGCTGAGTCCAGCCCCTGACACTCTCTCCACAGTGACCGAAGCCCTGGCCGGCATGAGCCCCTCGTGCTCGCTCTCGGCCCTGTCCAGCCGTGCAGCCTCCGTGTCCAGCCTGCACGAGCGCATCTTGTTTGCCCCGGGCAGCGAAGAGGCCATCGAGAGGCTGAAGGTGAGCCCCTGGCCGTGGGGCAGCTTGGCACAGGGTGCAGGGACAGCCACAGGGGCCTCAGGCACTCGGCCCGGTCCCCCGTCCACAGTGGCCTGGGAAGCCCCATGCCCTGAGGGTCCCCGGGCCTCACTTTGCTCCACGTGGCTCTGCAGGAAACAGAGAAGATCATTGCTGAGCTCAATGAGACCTGGGAGGAGAAGCTGCGGCGGACGGAAGCCATCCGCATGGAAAGGTGAGTGGGCAGGACCATCTCCCGGCTGGCTCCGGGCCACAGGCCCCTGCAGCAATAGGCCTGAGGCTGGGGCACTCAGAGCAGCACAGCCAGTCTGCCAGGGGACGCTGGAACGCATTGACCACATGGGACGCCGCATGGCCCAGGTCCTGCTGGTGCTCAGTGGCCTCATCTTGGTGAGGCCAGTCCTGGAAGCATCTGCTGACCCCGCCTTTCCCCCCAGGGAAGCCCTGCTGGCCGAGATGGGCGTGGCCATGAGAGAGGACGGCGGCACCCTGGGTGTGTTCTCTCCCAAAAAGGTAGGAACGGGGTGGGCGCAGAGCCATGGCGCTGCCCTGACTTAGAGCTGGAGCTGGTGGGCAGGGGTGTTTCTGGGCACACTTGGGGGAGGGCTGTGGTAGGTGTGGCCTGCTCTGAGGGGCCCACTGGGAGGCCGTGGCATGGGCATGGCTCCTCAACCACAGGCAGGCCTTCCTCTGGGTAGAAGAGTTGGCCTCAACTTTCTCACAGTGGGATGTCCTTGTAGCTTTGGAACGCTGGGGGTCTCTGATCTGTCTGAGGTGTGGAGTGAGCCTCCCCGTGGGCAGAGAGCCACTCATAGGATGGAGACTTGAGGTTTGGATACCTCCTAGGGGCTGTGCCATGCGTGGGTAGAGCCTGGGGGACACAGCTGGGAGATCCCCACTAACTCTTCGCACTGGTTCACAGGCCCAACCCCTGGGCTGGGCCTTGGGGGTCTTTCAGCTAGGGATCCCCACCTAGAGCAGAGCCCTACAATATGCATGTGGATCCTTTGCACACGTGGGAGGAAGTGACCATGTGCCCAAGCCCACTATGCCCCCAGGAAGTGGCCCTGCACCCAAATCTACTCCCCCTGCTCCCCAGGGAGTCCACCTCAGCCCAGCAACCCCCTGGCATGTGAAGTCCATTGTGTCAGAGTGTTTGGAGCCACCCAAGTACCTGGCTGCCCAAGTTGGGCCTGGCCTCTGGCGGGAGAGGAGCAGCCTCTGGGAGCACTCTGCTCCCAGAACACGTTTGAGTATGGACCACGCGCTGGTGGAGGCCTGTCTGCTGGGTGTAGACTTGTGAACAGTGGACTGCTGGTTGTGCACAAACGTGTGGGTCATGCTGTATTTGACCAAGGCTGGGGAACTGGGCAGGGCTGTGATCCATCCCAGGAGAACAGCAAGTGCCAAAGCCCAGAGCCGGGGGGTGCCTCCAGGAGGCCTGTGGTTCCAGGGCTCCCTCAGGCCCACCCTTTTCTGGAAGGGTGGGATGGACAGGCTGCCCCCAGGACACCTCTCCACACCCAAATCCTTTGGTCTGGGTGGGACTTGGGGGGCGTGCTCGAGTCAGCTGGGCCCCCTAGCCCTGCCACTGGGAAGGGGAGTTATGGCTGCCTCCTGGGTCCCCACGACCATGTGGAGTGCAGTAGCTGGTGGGGACATGGGACACTCACACCTGCAGGTGGAGGTAGTTTGCTTCAGGGAGCTAGTGGGAAACAAGCCCGCTGGCAGCTCCACCAGGGCCTGTGGTGGCTGACTTTGGGACTGGGCCGGGGGAAGGGCAGAGCACAGTGCGCAGGAGGCTCAGCAGGGGCCTCCGTCAGCCTCAGGGAGATGCCCCCCTTGGTCAAGGTCCAGAGTCCTGGTCCTCTTGGAAGAGGCCAGGGCTGGCGGCTCAGAACCCCACAGGTCAAGGGTTCCAGCCAATCTGCCCACCTGGGCACTCTGCAGTCCTGGGCACCTCCCCTTCCCTCTGCCAGGTAAGGGGACTTGTGTCTGGTGCCCAAGGAGAGGCGGGTGCAGGGGCCAGTACTGGGCTCCACACCCCACCATAGGAGGTAACCTTCCTGCCTCCCACAGACACCACATCTGGTCAACCTGAACGAGGACCCTCTGATGTCCGAGTGCCTCCTCTATTACATCAAAGACGGGATCACCAGGTGAGGCCTGTGCTGCCGTGGGCACTGGGGGATCCCAGGGAGGCCTGTGCCCGTCCGGGGGCACCGGGGGATCCCAGGGAGGCCTGTGCTGCCGTGGGCACTGGGGATCCCAGGGAGGCCTGTGCCCGTCCGGGGGCACCGGGGGATCCCAGGGAGGCCTTTGCCCATCCTGGGGCACCAGGGATCCCAGGGAGGCCTGCACCCATCCTGGGGCACCGGGGGATCGCAGGGAGGCCTGTGCCCGTCCTGGGGCACTGGAGGGGATGGGCTCTTGTTCCCCTTGGTTCTTGGGCCCCCAGTCATGACCCCTGCACCCCCAGTTGTGGGGGCTGGGCGTGCTGGGTGGGGCTGCATGCTGACGTGTTTCCTCCCTCAGGGTGGGCCGGGAGGATGGCGAGCGGCGGCAGGACATCGTCCTGAGTGGGCACTTTATCAAGGAGGAGCACTGTGTGTTCCGGAGCGACTCCCGGGGTGGCAGTGAAGGTAGCTCCTCCCCGTCCCATCCCTGGTCCCGCCTTTGCAGGGGAGGCTGCCTGGGGGCTCCCCTGGCCGGAGCTGTGGGGTTCCTCCGCTTCCCGCGGGCGGGGTCAGGCACGGTGGTGGGTGGTCCCTCTGAAGGCCGGCGTGTGCGTGCTTGCTGCTCGCTTGAGGCTGGGCCTTCTCCTTGTCCTGCAGCCATAGTTACCCTGGAGCCCTGTGAGGGGGCGGACACCTATGTCAACGGCAAGAAAGTCACGGAGCCCAGCATCCTGCGGTCAGGTAGGATGGGGTCAAGGCCAGCCTTGCAGTGGTAGGGCCGGGACACGGCGGCTAGGGTGGCTGTGCTGTGACTCTCACCCCCTCCCTCAGGGTGTGCACCTGTGGCACCAGGACCCCCTAGGCCTGTGCAGGACACTGTCCAGCATGGAGGGCCCTGGGACAGATGTAGGGCGAGTCAGATGGGCAGCACCAGGGCTGCATTCCCAGGCCAGGCTCACGAAACTCTGCTGTCCACTCCTGGGAATGCTCACCCTAACTCGGGTTGGGTACTCATAGTCCACTGGGGTCTCTGGCACTCAGAGCCGGCACCTGATAAGATGAGGCCCGCACTAGGGATTCCCTTTTTATTCTCCGGCCGCTGGCAGGCCATCTCCCAACACCCACACTGAAGCCCTCCAGCTGTACCATGGCCTGGCCAGGCAGATGCCTAAACCTGCCATCCCACCAGCTCGGCTGCAGGAAGATCAGAGAAGACCCGTGCCCCGTCCCTGAAGGGCTGAGGCTTCCAGTAGAGCTTTCCAGAAACTGGGGGAGTGGCAGTGGCAGGGATCAGGTCAGGGAAGCCATCGAGAGGGTTCTGGAGGCGGGGGTGGGCAGGGGCTGACCTGCTGCCAGTGAGGCTCCAGGCCCAGGTCCGGCTCCTGTCTGTGCTGCATTCCCAATCCCATCCTTCTCCCTGCTCGAGGCCACTGAGACCCACAGGTCCTTAAGGCCGGCCTCACCTCTGCCCGCAGGCAACCGCATCATCATGGGCAAGAGCCACGTGTTCCGCTTCAACCACCCCGAGCAGGCGCGCCAGGAGCGCGAGCGCACACCCTGCGCCGAGACGCCCGCTGAGCCCGTGGACTGGGCCTTCGCGCAGCGCGAGCTGCTGGAGAAGCAGGGCATCGACATGAAGCAGGAAATGGAGCAGAGGTGAGGCCGGCTGTGGTGGCCTGTGCTGCCTCAGCTGTGCTCACCTGCGCTCACCTGCGCTCACCTGAGCTCACCTCACCTGTGCTCACCTCACCTGTGTTCACCTCAACTCACCTGAGCTCACCTCCCCTGTGTTCACCTCACCTCAGCTCTGCTCACGTCGTCTGTGCTCACCTCACCTGTACTCACCTCACCTCAGCTGTGCTCACCTCAGCTGTGCTCACCTCAGCTGTGCTCACCTCACCTCAGCTGTGCTCACCTGAGCTCAGCTGTGCTCACCTCACCTGTGCTCACCTGAGCTCACCTCACCTGAGCTCACCTCACCTGTGCTCACCTCACCTGTGTTCACCTCACCTCACCTGAGCTCACCTCACCTCAGCTGTGCTCATCTCACCTCAGCTCTGCTCACGTCGTCTGTGCTCACCTCAGCTGTGCTCACCTCACCTGTGCTCACCTGCGCTGACCTGAGCTCACCTCACCTGTGCTCACCTCACCTGAGCTCACCTCAGCTGTGCTCACCTCACCTCACCCGAGCTCACCTCCCCTGTGTTCACCTCACCTGCGCTCACCTGTGCTCACCTCAGCTCTGCTCACGTCGTCTGTGCTCACCTCAGCTCTGCTCACGTCGTCTGTGCTCACCTCACCTGAGCTCACCTCACCTGTGCTCACCTCAGCTGTGCTCACCTGCGCTCACCTCACCTGTGCTCACCTCAGCTGTGCTCACCTCGTCTGCTCACCTCATCTGTGCTCACCTGTGCTCACCTGTGCTCACCTCACTTCACCTGTGCTCACCTCCCCTGTGCTCACCTCACCTGAGCTCACCTCACCTGTACTCACCTCACCTCAGCTGTGCTCACCTGAGCTCACCTCAGCTGTGCTCACCTCACCTGCGCTCACCTGTGCTCACCTCCCCTGTGTTCACCTCTCCTGCGCTCATCTCACCTCAGCTTTGCCCACCTCGTCTGTGCTCACTTCATCTGAGCTCACCTCATCTGGGCTCACCTGTGCTCACCTCACCTGCGCTCACCTGTGCTCACCTCACCTGCGCTCACCTTTCCTCAGCTCTGCTCACCTCGTCTGTGCTCACTTCACCTGAGCTCACTTCACCTGTGCTCACCTCACCTCAGCTCTGCTCACCTCATCTGTGTTCACCTCCCCTGTGCTCACCTCACCTGTGCTCACCTGTGCTCACCTCAGCTGTTCTCACCTCATCTGTGCTCATCTGTGCTCACCTCACCTCATCTGTGCTCACCTCACCTATGCTCACCTGTACTCACCTCAGCTGTTCTCACCTCACCTGCGCTCACGTGTGCTCACCTCATCTGTGCTCACTTCACCTGAGCTCAGCTATGCTTGCCTCGTCTGTGCTCACCTCCCCTGTGCTCACCTCACCTGCGCTCACCTCATCTCTGCTCACCTGAGCTGTGCTTGCTTCACCTATGCTCACCTCACCTCATCTGTGCTCACCTCGTCTGTGCTCACCTCACCTGCGCTCACCTGTGCTCACCTCATCTGTGCTCACCTCACCTCAGCTGTGCTCACCTCATCTGGGCTCACCTGTGCTCACCTCCCCTGTGCTCACTCACCTTGCAGGCTGCAGGAGCTGGAGGACCAGTACCGCCGAGAGCGGGAGGAGGCCACCTACCTGCTGGAGCAGCAGCGCCTGGTGAGGATCCGGCCCTCAGAGCTGGCACCCCTTCCTGCCACAGGATGGGGCGTGGGGCTGGCGCACGCTGGGGCGCGGCGTGGCCTTACGGGGCCCATGGCCTTGCTGCCTTGCAGGACTACGAGAGCAAGCTGGAGGCCCTGCAGAAGCAGATGGACTCCCGGTACTGCCCCGAGGTGAACGAGGAGGAGGAGGAACCGGAGGATGAAGGTGAGGGCTTTGGCACCCAGGAGGGCTGGGCCTCGGGCTCGGAGGACCTCTTCCCGGCCACTCCCCTAGGGTGCCTGGGGACCCATCTCTTTGTCTATGGGAAGGGCCACGGGGGCTCTGCCAAGGTAGGTGCCTGTGTGTGTGCGTATGTGTGTGTGTGTGTGCACTCGCACACCAGGGCTGCCTCACAGGGCAGGGCTTGTGGCAAGTGCTGCGGCCTTCCCCCACAGTGCAGTGGACGGAGCGGGAGTGCGAGCTGGCGCTGTGGGCCTTCCGGAAGTGGAAGTGGTACCAGTTCACGTCCCTGCGGGACTTGCTGTGGGGCAATGCCATCTTCCTCAAGGAGGCCAATGCCATCAGCGTGGAGCTCAAGAAGAAGGTGTGTGAGGACAGCCCCGGCCCCCTGAGGCTCTGCTTGCCCCGCCTGTGCCCTGGGGTGGGCGGCTGAGGGCAGCCCTGCCCTGGCCAGCTGCGGCTATGGGAGCAGGTGGCCCTGGCAGCCCCTGCTTGGCTCCTGTGGCCCAACTCTGCTGAGGCTGTGAAGGAAGGCCTGGCCCCGCCCCTCAGGGCTGACCGGGGTCCTGCCTGAACCCTGGCAGGTCCAGTTCCAGTTTGTCCTCCTCACGGACACGCTCTACTCCCCGCTACCACCTGACCTGCTGCCCCCAGAGGCTGCCAAGGAGCGGGAGACGCGCCCCTTCCCCCGCACCATCGTGGCCGTGGAGGTCCAGGATCAGAAGAACGGGGCCACCCACTATTGGACGCTGGAGAAGCTCAGGTGTGGCTGGCGGGTGGCTGGGGTAGGCCAGGGCCTCCTCCCTGGGGACTAGGGTGGTGCAGCTTCCCGGGGGGCGGGGGTGCACTGTTCCTTCTGCTTCCCTGGGTTTAGAAGCTTCTTGCATCTCACTCCAGCGGACACTCCTGGTGTGTATGCCGGGAGCTGGGGCCGATGCAGATGTGCTCAGGGCCCCGGGCAGCACTCCGGGGGACGCAGGGTGCAGGCATGCACAGGGCCATGGCGTGCCTAGACAGGTCCAGAGGGCTGGGGTCACTTCCTCAAACCAGCAGGAGCTCAAAGAGACAGGGTGGAGGGGCGTGTGGCTCTTGCACCTGTGGGTGGGTACAGGGGAGCAGGGAGGGGGGCGGATGCTGCACCCCAGCACCTGTGGGAAGTGAGGAGCCGGGTGCAAGGAGGAGTGAGGGGGTGGCTCCTGCATCTTGATACCTGTGGAGGTGAAGGAGCTGGGGCTGGCACAGAGGAGCAGGGAGGGAAGGGGAAGAGGTGAGCCTCTCTTTGCCCCAGGACAAGAGGGCGCCTCTCTGAGCCCCCCACACTGACTGCAGGTCTCAGGCAGGAAGGTAGGGATGCCGGGGGCATGTCACTGTGCCCTGGAAGCAGGGGTCAGTTGGTCCCATGGCCGTGTGGCCAGGCAGGGGTCAGCGGTTTGACAAGGTCTGGCCCTGGCTGCTGCAGGACAGGGCTGCTGGCTTGGCAGGAGGGAGGAGGTGCTTGGGGCTGACTGACAGGGGGCTGTCCTGCGAGGGGCTAGGTCCCCACCAGGCAGAGGTACCCGACCCTGGGGTCTCGGGTGTCACATACATGAGTAATGGACACTCTGACACACATGCACACACACTGACCTCGGGGGTCACGCACGTTCAACTCGGACTTCTGTCTCGGCACATGGACACTGACGTACACGCTGGCATGTACTAACATATGCAGACGCTGACGGGCACCACCACAGCCTGCGTGCACATAGGCTCATGCCCACTCCGCATCCCTTGCCCTGCCCGTCCTCTGGCTGGCTCGGTAGACCCGCATCTTCAGAGCCTGTGTGGCCCACAGGGGCTTCTCGCGTCTGGCTTGGCAGTCCCTGCTGCCCCGGCCCTCAACTGCTCCTCCCTCCGCAGACAGCGCCTGGACCTGATGCGGGAGATGTATGACCGGGCGGCCGAGGTGCCGTCCAGCGTGGTGGAGGACTGTGACAACGTGGTGACCGGCGGCGACCCCTTCTACGATCGCTTCCCCTGGTTCCGGCTGGTGGGCAGGTGGGTGCCTCCCCTCTCCCTGCTGAGAGAGAGAGAGAGAGAGGAGAGAGGAGAAATGGGCCTGTTTCCAAGCCCAGAGCCCCTACAGAACTGCCGTGAACGGCGATGCTGCCAGACGCTTTCCAGTCCCCCGCCCCCCAGCCTGCCCCTGGCTCGCCAGCAGCCACGGATGGGGCCGTGACCCTGCCCGCCCACACCTGCCATCCACGTGTGTGATCAGGGGAGTTCCCAGCCCAGGTCTCGGGTGGGAGCGTGAGGCACAGCCCCGGGACTGCCTCTGGAGCTTTCGCTGGGCTCTGTGTCCAGCCCCGATTCTCACTCGCCCCTCCTGATGCCTTCCAGAACCTCCCGCGCCGTCCAGCCGGCCACCCGCATGCCCGTGTGGTGTCTCCCGGGCCGGGGCCGGTGCGGTCCTGACCCGTCTCAGCCGCGTTCTGGGGGGCTGTGCTCGGTGTGGTGGGCTGGCCAGGAGCGGCCCCGGCCCGTGAGCGGCTGGTGTTAACTTCTCTCTGTCTTGTCGTACTAACCTCAGTTCAGTCATCTCTGGCTGCGACAGCTACCCTCTTCTGAGCACATGCATGAGCGAGCGCATGGCTGCTCTCACCCCCTCCCCCACCTTCTCGAGCCCCGACTCCGACACCACCGAGCTTGCCGAGGAGCAGAGCGTGGGGGAGGAGGAGGAGGAGGAGGAGGAGGAGCACCTGGAGGACGACGTCTTTCCGGAGCACACGCTGTGCGACGGCCGGGACCCGTTTTACGACCGGCCCCCCCTGTTCAGTTTAGTAGGAAGGTTGGTGAGGCCGAGCACAGCATGCTGGGAAGGACCCAGCTCTTCGGCCCAGGAGCACTGCTAAGGGCCCCACGCCACGTCAGGGCAGAGCCCCGAGGGAGCCTGGGCTCCCCGCATGTGCCTAGGGTGGGACAGTCGGGTCCAGCTCCGGAAGTGACAGGCCCACTGCCTGGCCTGGGAGGCGCTGCCCTCTGCGCAGGCAGTGTGAGGTGGCCCCGATGCCTTCGTCCTTGCGGAGGGCCTGTGGTGGCCTTCGATGGAGAGGGCCAGCTGCCCACATGTCATTCAGGGCCTAGTAGGTCTTGGTGGGAGTGGCCCAGGGCTCAGAGAGGGGTCCTCAGGGTGACCTGAGGGGCTTGGGGGGTGTCCTGAAGGCAGGAGCTGCAGTCACTCCCCTGTGCCCTGCAGGGCCTGGGCTCACGCTGCCCACCAAGGAGGATGTTGCCACTGTTCTAGCCCTCCTCTGGTGCAGGGGTGTGCGTGGCAGGTGCCTCGCGCAGATGTCCTCCACTGACCTCTGCTGAACCATGAGAGGGGCCGAGGTCAGGCGTGGACGGAGGCCACAGCAGGGGCCCTAGACCCCGGCACAGACACGGCCACCCCCGCCAGAGGCCCTGCAGCTGCCTGTCTGGCCCAAGGTGCGGCTGCTGTCCCAATCTCATACTCACTGAGAGGTGTACACTAATTTTAAAGAAAGAAAGAGAGACCTTCTGTCTGTTGATTCATTCCCCAAAGACCTGCAGAAGCCACGTATGGGCCAGGCCAGTGCCAGGCCGGTGCCAGGGGTGAGAGCCCAAGCCCAGCTGTGGGTGGGGCAGCAGGAAGCTGGTGCCACGACTCGAGCCGGGCACTCAGTGGGGGAGCAGGAGCCGAACTGCTGTGCCAATGCCCGCCCCCCCCATTGCTAAAGGCAGCCCCTGGGGTCCTGGCCACCTACAAGCCCGTGGCCCCGCGGCCGGCTGGGCGAGGCGAAGGGTGCCCGGGGAGTCAGCAGGCACCTGATTTTCTGCAAGTCTCGTGAGGTATGCTGGCTGGTCTGCAGGGGTAGGGGTCACAGCTGTCGTCCCCCAAGATGCCGAACTGAGTGAGGAAGCGGACTGCAGGCCTCTCATGGGCGTGGGGGCCCTGGGAACCTGCAGGGGTGAGCACCAGGACCCACAGGGGGACAAGGGCGTGGGCTCTTGCAGTGTCGGCCGCGAAGAGCTGGGTCCTTCCAACATTTCTCTCCCCTCGTGGACCTGAGACTCAACAAAACCACCAAACTGAACCAAAGTCCTTGCCGAGAGGCCGGCCCCGTACGGCAGGGCGGCCTGGGGCGGCTTGTTGGCGGCCGAGCCGGTCCTTTTGGTTTGGCAAGAATTGGCTTGTTCCGCGCAGCAGCTGTGCAGCCCCAGCCCCGGGCAGGGCCCGCCAGGACGGCCTTCTGGTAGCTGCTGGCTCTCTCTCCAAAGCTTTAGCCAAACTGGGCGCCCACTTGTGTCCCCTCTGGAGAGGCTCCCTGGTCCCAGCATGCCCCTTGCACCTCACCAGTCTGTGGTTAGCACCACCTCCTCCTTCCCGCCACGCTGTGCCTGCGCGCTGTCTGCCTCTGCTCCTGCTCGGGTGGGTTTCAGTCTGCTTCAAGGTACACTGGCCGCTTGGCACGGCCCTCGAGCAGCAGTCCCCCGAGTCACCCAGGCGGAGAAAGTGGGCCTGAGGGCATGGCTGGCAGAGGACAAGGCCCTCGTCTCCTGGAGGGCGGGTGTGGGCAGCAGGGCCCGCCTCGGCCATGCAGTGTGTGTCCAGGTGGGCGTTGCCAGGCCTATGAGCCCCCCAAGGCGGGCATTTCCCCGGGGGCAGAGGTGTGTCCAGGGTCCTGCCAGCTGTGCGAGAGGCCTGGGGTCCTCAGGGGCAGCTGCCAGGACACCTGGCCCTAGAGCTTGCCCCAGAGCCGTGACCCCAGCTGGGTGCCCAGCACAAAGGGAGTGCACAGCTGTCCTCAGTGGGGCAGCGGGCCAGCTCCCAGGAAGCTTTCTCACCAGCCTTCGCTGAGGAGGTGCCCTCCCTGAGGGCCCTACCTCTGGGTGGTTGGAGCCAGGGCTGCAGCAGGCCTGGGCAGTGGCCTGCAGCTCCCCTGATGCCCCCTACTGGCGAGTGCAGGTTGAGAGTAAGGAGTGGCAGGCAGCTCAGGGCCAGCAGCGATCTCGCTGTGGGGAGCCGGCAGCTCCGCCACCTCCTGTCCTGCTTCTCTGGGTCTCCATGCGCCTTCGAGGGTGCACTCCGTCCCCGCTGGGCGCCAGCCGCTGTGGTCACCACAGGGGGTCTCCCCTCTCGGGCAGCCATGCTGCCTTGATGCATCTGAAGCCCAGGGACCCTAGACCTCGTGCATTAGCCCGTTGGGTTCGTGGGAAGCTTCATTTGGGCCGTGCCCTGGCTCCTGTGCCTGTGGGGAGGCCACGCTGTCAGCAAAGAGGCCTGCTCCTGCCTCCAAAAGCTGAGGTGGGAGCCCTAGACCTGGCCGTGAGCAAGTGGGTGCTATGGAGGCTGTGAGGTTCCCGGGCAGGGAACCTTCTGCCTGCTGACATGGTCTGCATCCACCCCACTGTGCCACAGCGGCGTCTCGGGACCACCGGAGCCAGCCTGAGCCTGGCACGGATGCTGGGAGCATCTGGTCAGGAAGGGGACAGGAGGACCCTCAGCTGCTCAGAGCCAGTGACAATGCCCTGGGCAGATTGCCCGTGGCATCCAGGGACTCCTTGGCCCCTGTGGCCTGTGGCCTGTGGAGTAGGGACTGGTGGGGCAGGGGGTGAGGCCTGCCACGAGCCTCTGCTTGGCCAGGGCATGAGGTGGGCCCATCTGCTCGGTGCCCCAGGCCTCTGGCTGCAGTGGACACAGGGGCAAGTGTGGTGTGAGCTGGTGAGGGGCTCCTGGGAGACCCTGAAGCAGGAGGTTTGGGGGAGGAAGAGCCACACTGGTGCCCAGGTTCAGAGTCCTGCTATGAGTCTGCCCTACCGTCTGCCCCGTCCCTACCACCTGTACCCTCATCCTTACTCTGCCCCTCACCTTCTGTCGTCTGCACTCCCCACCCCCTGTGGCCAGACCCATCTTCTGGGAGCTGCACCCCTGCTGTGAGGTCTCGGCTCACCTGACCAGCCCTTCTCTTGCCAGGAGTGGGCACAAGTCTTGGGGTTCAGGGCCCTCATCCTCCTGGCTTGGCGGCCGTCGTCTGGGCCTGGGGTGACCAGGACTCTGTGCCAGCCTCCTTGGGGTGCTGTGCAGGGTGGGGTGTTTCCCATCTCCCTGACCCGCCGTAGGGGCTGGGGGGCCATGCCCATCTGTGGAGTGGCCAGCAGGCAGGGCCCTGGGATGTGGAGGCAGCATCCTTCATGCAGTGTCCTTGAAGCAGGCTGGAGCCCCCCGCTGCTGTCATGTCAGAGGGCCTGTGCTCGGCCTCCGCCGTCCTCTGCTCAGCACCACTCACGCCCTCCTCCTCCACCTCTTGCCATCCCCCGAGTGCCTCCCACCCCAGGGACCCCTGCCCTGCCTGCCCCCTCCTGCCCTGGCTGTCCTGCTTGGCTCTGCTTTGCAGCCCTGTTGTGAGCTGGCTATACCACCGCCGCCACTGCCAACCACAGCGGGCGCTGAAGGTGGCCCTGACCTTAACCTCTGCCTCCCAGGGCCTTCGTGTACCTGAGCAACCTGCTGTACCCCGTGCCGCTGGTGCACCGTGTGGCCATTGTCAGCGAGAAGGGCGAGGTCAAGGGCTTTCTCCGCGTGGCGGTGCAGGCCATCTCAGGTGCACGGGCCGGGCCTGGGGGCAAGCCCAGGACGGGAGGGTGAGGCCCATGGCGGACCCAGGACATGAGGGTGGGGCCTGGGGGCAAGCCCAGGACCAGAGGGTGGGGCCCAGGACATGAGGGTGGGGCCTAGGGCGGACCCAGGACATGAGGGTGGGGCCTGGGGTCTGGCCCAGGACTGGAGGGTGAGGCCCAGGATGTGAGGATGAGGCCTAGGGTGGGCCCAGGACAGGGAAGGTGGGGCCTAGGACAGGAGGGTGGGGCCAAGGAGAGGCCCAGGCCCTGAGGATAGCACAGGTGTGCCAGCCTCCACTCTGAGGGGCCTGGTTCCCATTGGGCCTGCTGCCCTGGCCACTCACTGGAGGCGATTCCAGTTCCACTGATTAACTGACCTGATGACTTGGCCCGATTGTCAGCTTCTTGCCCGCCCCACTCTCAGGGCTCCTGCGGCTCCACCCGCCAGCCAGGTGCTGTGAGAGCCGTGTCTCTCACTGGGACTACAGGGTGTTGGGCATTGGGGTGCACCTCTTCCTACTGGACTTGCACCTGCCCGGTAGGATCCCCAGGCTCCAGCTTCCCTGGGCCCCACAGACCAATCCACTCCCTCCATCTGGCCCCCACCCCCACACTGCCCACAGCTATCGGGGCCTACCTTGAGGAGGGCACAACAGGGCTCCCCCCAGCTGGGGAAGGGGAATCAGGCCCTGGGTCTGAGCTCTGTGGGTTTGATGCCCTGGAAGGCACTCAGGTGTGAGAGCACATGTCCCTGTCCCCTGACCTGTGAGGCAACGCCGACACCAGGCCTGGGAGGGGTCGCTGTGGTCACGGCTATCACCCCGGCTGTCCTCTTACTGTGGCTGCTGCCTGGCCGGGCCATGGCAGAGCAGCTGCGGGGAGAGGCCTGTGTGGGGCTGAGGGGGCTGTGGAGGCTGCAGCAGAGGGTCAGGTGCCTGGGTGGAGGAGGGCTGGCAGAGCTGTGTCGGGGCCTCCTTTGGCTCCAGGAGTTTGGGTTTGTCCCCAGCACAGGGATATCACTGGGAGCTTTGGGGGCTGGGAGGATGGGGTGAGTGAGCCAGGGGCACTGAGTGGAGGGGTGCCAGGGCCGAGGAGGGACTGGGCGGGGGTCTCTGTGAGGTTCATGAGGCCTCAGGAGGGGTGGGCTCTGCCTGGGCATCCAATGGGGCTCAGGTTTGAAGTCGAGCCCTGCTCCCTTCTGAGAACATGGCCTCTGGGATGAGGCAAGCTGGAAGACAGGGTGCTGGGCACCCCTGGTGTGGATCAGAGCCTGACTACTCACACCTGCTTTGGGGCGGGCAGGGAGCCCTGACCGTCTGCGTGGTTCCACTTACAGCCGACGAGGAAGCCCCTGACTACGGCTCTGGCGTCCGCCAGTCGGGGACCGCCAAGATCTCCTTTGATGATCAGCACTTTGAGAAGGTATGGGCAGTGAGAGCCAGGCTGCCTAGGCTTGGCCCTCCCTGGGTGCCCCTGCCCCTCTCCCTCAGAGCAGCTGGTACCCAGGGCCACGAGGGAGCGTGTCCCATGCTGAAGGCAGGATCAGCCTCTACCAACCCTGTTTGGGGTTACACGGAGCTGAGGCAGGGGCTGTGACCCCAACACTGCGGGAGGCCCCAGGAGGGGCGGGTCCGGAGGGCAAGGCTGGGCCGCAGGTGCACTGTGGTCCCTGCCTGCAGTTTCAGTCCGAGTCGTGCCCTGTGGGAGGGATGTCGCGTTCGGGCACCTCCCAGGAGGAGCTCCGCATCGTGGAGGGCCAGGGCCAGGGTGCAGACGTGGGGCCCTCGGCCGACGAGGTCAACAACAACACCTGCTCAGGTAGGTGGTCTGTGTGCTGCCCGCTGTGCGGCCGCTGCTCCAGAGCAAAGCCTGGAGGTGCCCACGCTCTCCCCTTGGCCCACAGCGGTGCCCCCGGAAGGCCTCCTGCCAGACAGCCCTGAGAAAGCCGCCCTGGACGGGCCCCTGGACGCGGCCGGGCAGCACCTGAGGCTCAGCAGCACCTTCACGTTCCGCGTCACAGTGCTGCAGGCCTCCAGCATCTCGGCCGAGTACGCCGACATCTTCTGCCAGTTCAAGTGAGCTCTGCCTGCTGCTCGGGCCGTGGGCGGGGAGGCCAGACCCTGCAGAGCTCCTGCCCGGGGCCCAGCTGAGTCCTTGCCAGCTGGCACTGTTTGCCTTGTAGCTTCATCCATCGCCACGACGAAGCCTTCTCCACAGAGCCCCTGAAGAACACGGGCAGGGGCCCCCCGCTCGGCTTCTACCACGTCCAGAACGTACGTCCTGAGCCCTGTTGCCCCTCTCTGCCCCCGAGTGGCACAGCCCAGCAGGACTGGGACTGCTGTGCCACCTGCTATGGGTTTGAAGCTGGGTTTGGGGACACACAGGATGGTGTCTGGCATTGTAGGCTGGGGTGTGCTGAGCACTGGGCCCTGCCCCGAGCAGGGGTAGGAGGAGAAAGGGCCTCCCAGGCTGCAGGGCACCTGGTGCCACCACAAGAGGGTAGAGCGACTCAGGCTAGGCTCCAGAACCAGGGACCCTAGAGGCTCCAGAAGGGAGCTCGGCCGGCCAGCTGGACGGGGTGTCCTTGGGGGAGGTGGGGCTGGGCTGGCCTGGGTGTGGCCACGGCAGAGGCCTCTGGGGTCTGGTCTGTCTGGGAAGCTGGTGCCCCACTCTGTGTCATGACTGGTGCGCCCTTCCCACAGATCGCTGTGGAGGTGACCAAGTCCTTCATTGAGTACATCAAGAGCCAGCCCATCGTGTTTGAGGTCTTTGGCCACTACCAGCAACACCCGTTCCCACCGCTGTGCAAAGATGTGCTCAGGTCAGCTCCAAGCCACAGTCACTGCCCAGCTGCCCTCCCGACGGACTGGGGGCTCCTGACGGGCCTCGGCGGGTTGGGGTAGGGTCCAGGGGTCACTGCCCAGCTGTCCACTCCTGACGGGCCTCGGCGGGTTGGGGTAGGGTCCAGGTGAGAGGGACCAGCAGAATCTCTTGAGGTCACCTGTGTGGTTCCCTCATTCTGTACGGAAGGGATGGGGCCTGGGCAGGTCTCAGGGCCTGTGGGGTAAAGTTTCCAACCCAGGCCCCCAAGGATGGAGGGTGGGGATGCCCTCCCAGGGCCCCGAGCTGAGGGCACCCTCAGAGCAGCAATGGCCCCGTTCTCTGTGCACATACCCTAGACTGGAGGCTGGAGACTGGACACTGTCTTGGCAGGCCCTGGGGTCCTGTCAGTCCCTCCTGTCCAAGCCAAGCTGGAGGAGGCCTGAGCCCATGGCCTTGCCTGGCTGGCCGTGGTGGAGGGAGGCAGGGATGGGCTGGGGTCAGTAGCTCCAGGGCTCTGGTCCTGCCCTGCCCTGCCCTGAAGATGGCCTCTTGCTGACCGTGTCCACAGCCCCCTGAGGCCCTCACGCCGCCATTTCCCTCGTGTGATGCCGCTGTCCAAACCAGGTAAGGCAGATGCCTTGGGTCTCCCGGGCAGCAGTGCTGGGAAGGTAGACCCTTCCGCTGTGATGGGGGTGCCCTACTGGCCTGGTGCCTTGTGTCTGGGGGTCAGCTGCTCTGTGGCCCATAGGGAGACACTAGCCCCACGGTGACCACTGCAGCTGGGGACCTGGTGGAAGAGGGGCCTTTGTGGAGGAGATGGTGAGGGGTGCATAGCCAGGGGAATGCGGGCTGAGGATGCAGCCTCTGGGTAGGTGCTGGGCTACCCTGAGCAGCAATTTTGCCCCCTGCTGGTTCTCAGGGCGTGCAGGTTCCACCCTGTCTGTGGTCCTGTGCCCAGGAGTGTGTGGACATGGGTTCCTTCCATTGGGGTGAGGAGGAAGAAAGAGCCCCAGTGGGATATTTGTCCTGGGGAGCTTCCCCAGCTGCCTTTGAAGCTCCTCACCCCTCCACATGCCCTGGACACCTGCCGAGCCTCCCTGTGTCCCCCCAGTGCCTGCCACCAAGCTCAGCACATTGACAAGACCAAGCCCTGGGCCCTGCCACTGCAAATACGACCTCCTGGTCTACTTCGAGATCTGTGAGCTGGAGGCCAATGGCGAGTGAGTGTGGGACTGCGCGGGCCTGAAGTCCTCAGGGACTGGGCTGGGCTGGGCTAGAGCAAGGGCTGCTTCGACTCTCAGCAGGTGTGGCCCGGGACTGGGAGGGCTTCCCTGCCTCAAGCGTGTGTCTGGCTCCATGCCCAGGCTCCAGTGGCCTCAGGGAAGGCTGAAGGAGGTGGCAGGAGCCCTCAGTGAAGGGTGTGGTCTTGGGACAGCCGGGCAGAATCCTGCAGGGGTCCGCCTGGGTTCCTGCCTCTGGAGGTGGCAGGAGGAGCTGTGTCCGGAATGGAGCCGAGGCACCTGAGGGCTGCCAGGCTTGCTCCTGGAGGGTGAGCATCTGTGTTCTCCCATCCACCCTGGGCCCAGGCCTGACGTGCGTCTCTTGCAGCTATATCCCAGCCGTGGTGGACCACCGTGGGGGCATGCCATGCATGGGCACCTTCCTGCTCCACCAGGTACAACCCCCCGCCTGGACCACCCGGCCACTCCTCTGTCCCAGCCCAGCCTCACCCCTGCCTCACCCCACCTAGCCCACTGACCTGTCCTTTCCTGGCCTCTTAGGGTATCCAGAGACGGATAACTGTGACACTCCTGCATGAGACAGGCAGCCACATCCGCTGGAAGGAAGTGCGGGAGCTGGTCGTGGGTGAGCTGTGGACCGTGGGATGGGGTCCTGAGCCAGCCTGCAGGCAGCTCTGTGGGCCACGGGATGGGGGTCCTGAGTCTGGTCGTGGGTGAGCTGTGGACCGTGGGATGGGGTCTTGAGCCAGCCTGCAGGCAGCGCTGTCCCACTGCGGGGGCCATGGCTCAGCCACATCAGCACAACCCACACTGACTTGGTCCCCACATCAGGATTTGGGGTCAGTGGGGACCCAGGCATGGGTGGCAAGGACTGCAAACACATCCTCTTGTGGTCTTGGCCAGACACCTGAGCCCTAAAACCTGTGGCCGAGAAGCTGCGACATCTCCCGGGAGGTCACCAAGGTATTAGGCGGGGGCCACTTCCTGCATGTGGCCTGCCCTCACACGCTGCCCAGTGGGGCCAGGATCCAGGTGGCCTGGGGCAGGAGCCTGCCTTTGGGGCCACAGTGTATTTCATAACCAACACGAAGGGTTCTGTGCTATTAGCTCTGGCCTACCAGATGGGTCCATGTCAGCTGTGAGAACACGTGGGGCTCAGGTGGCAGAGTCCACCTAGGAAAGATTGGAACTGTGCAGAAGCATGGCTGAAACCCAGGGGTTTTGGTAGCTAGATGCTAGGGACAGTGGTGAGGGCCTGAGCACAGTGTCCTGGGGGCCCCTGGGCCCATTGCCCTGGGTGCAGTGTGTGGCACTAAGTATGAGAAGGGCACTAGGAAACAAACTTTTGTGCCCAGGTCACTCAGGTCAGAACCAACAGGGGCGGGCCCCCTCAGCAGCTGGGGTCCAGGACCAGCTTGGAAGGCCTGGCTGGCCCTCACCTACTCAGTGGTTGTGCAGACTCGGATGCAGCCAGTACAGTGGCGGTCACTCTGCAGGAACAGCAAGGCCCACCAGCCACCAGCCAGGTCTTGTTGCCTCTGCAGAGGAGGGGAGGTCCCTGGGTGTCTCCCCCACCCAGTGACCCTGCCATAGTGTCCCTCATGGTTGTGTAGGCCCAGGTTACGGGACCCCTGAGCTTGTGACCCTGGGCAGTGGCGCTGGTGCTGAGGCCTGCTTCCCTTTCCCTCAGTCCCAAGCCCCCAGGACTGTGGGATGCCACTGTTGGAGGCTGGGGTCTAGGGGCACTCTGGGTGGCTGTGGATCTGGATCTGCTGAGGGCCCCTTCCAGGGCTAGCAGAAGCTTAGCGGGTACCAAGAACGCTTGCCGGTCGGGATTCTGATACCTTCCAGACCGAAGGATGGACGGATGTGGGGAGGGGCTGGGGCAAGTGTCACTGCAGGTGACCTCGGCCTGTAGCCTCAAGGAGGCCTGCTTGGGGCAGGAATGTCCACTGTGGCCCAGCACTAGCTTCCATCTGCAGAGACACAGGCAGGAAAGGTGACTGCCAGCTGAGGGGCTTGCTGCCTGGCGCGGCCTGGCGCTGGCCCCTGGGGCAGTGACCGGCTTCCATCATCTTTCCTGCAGGTCGTATCCGGAACTCTCCAGAAACTGACGAGTCTCTTGTTGACCCCAACATCTTGTCTCTCAACATCCTGTCGTCAGGGTACGTCCACCCGGCTCAGGATGACCGGTGAGTCCTCAAGCCCCTCGGCTCACATCTGCTCAGTGCAGAGGGCTAGCACCTGTGAGGGGATGAGCTGGAGGCCCTGTGCTGGGGTCTCCTGGAGCCACGGCAGCGGCAGCTGAGGCTCAGCCTCTGGAACATTCTTGGGTCCAGGTTGGGGTGACCAGTGGCATATTGCTGGTACTCAGCCTAGAGTGGAGGTGCCCAAGCCACTGCTTGGCATAAGCTACCATCACACGCATCTGGCCGGTTGAGGAGGCGGTAAGAGGCTGCACTGGAGTGGGGAGAGGTGCAGAACCGGCCAGAGGCAGAGGGACAGGTAGGGTGGAACAGGCCTCAAGTCGCCTGTGATCCTGTTGGCAACACTCATTTCCCAGGGCTGGGGGATCCTGTGGGCCTTGCCTGGCTCAGCACGCAGGAGCCTGAGGTGGAGCCTGCTGTGTCCACAGCTTCTGGGGGCTTACCCCAGGAAGAGGCACCTGGGGGTGAGCCTGCTGCTTACAGAGGGGGGCCCGGGCATGGGGCACCTCTGTCCTTCTGGCTTCTTGATCTCCACACAAGGGCCCTGACTCCGCATCGGGGCCTGAGGGCAAGCGCCGGGTGGGTCTCAGCTCTGCCCTGTTCTGGTCCCTGCAAGCAACACCAGTCACTTGGAGGTGGCACCATGGCGTGCAAGCAGAGGGCTCTGGGGGCCTGAGGCAGGTGTGCAGTTAGGGAGCTGGGGTGGCCCTGGCAGAGGGAGTGCCATGCTGTGATGCTGTGGGGCTGGGTTGTGACCTCTAACCCGTCCTGGGAGCAGTATGCAGCAGTATGCGGTGAGGACCTTAGGTGTCTCCCAGTCTCCCTCCCCTGCACTCTGCTGCGATGAGGGCTCTGCTTCCGGAGTCTCCACGGCACACTTGCTGGGGCCACCACCCTGGCCAAGCAGGAGATGATGGCTCATGGCATGCAGCCAGTGGGCTCCCCAGGACTGTCCAGTTATGGAGACTCCCTGGGCAGTGGAAGGCAGGTGGGGTGGGATGCAGGTCTGGCTTGGCTGCTGGGCCCTTGCTTCTCCCTGCTGGCGCAGATCCCACCCCCGAGTCGCAGGAACTCTTGTCTGCCCGTGGTGCCCTGGCTTGGCTGCTGGGCTGCTTCCCCGAGGCCTTCCTGGTGCACACAGGTGCCGCTGTGTCGTGATCAGGCCCCTGCCCCGCTCAAGGCCCCGCCGTGCTGGCCGAGGGGCCGCGGCCTCACTAACGTGTGCTTGTTTGTGTCTTGCAGGCAGTTTCTTGATTCGGACCTGCCTAGGTATCATTGTGCCCTCAGCTCCCCTTGCCCCGCCCCCTCTGCCTTCCCTGACCTGAAAAGTCCAGCAGTGGCTTTTTGGGGTCCCCCGGGAAGCGGCCCCCCATCCCGGTCCCTCCCATCCCTCCTGCCTCCCCACTTAGGCTGCTGGACCTTCCATTCCCCCCCTGCTTCCCTCATCCCATCCATTTGGCTGAGTCTTCCCACCCCTACTTCTAGTCCTGGCTGCTTGCGTGGCTCCCTGCCCTCCCATAGCCGCTGGTTGGCCTCCTGCTTCTGCTGCCCCTGCAGCCCCCGCAGCTCCCACCTCTGCCAGGCAGCCGCAAACATCTGCATGCAGACCGCTAGCTCACCAGGCTGCCTTGGGCTGCACCAGCTCGCGTGGACCAGCCCCATCCCTGCAGGGCCAGTGGCGGGCAGAGCCTGGGGCACGGGGATGGGGAGAGGAGGAGCAGGCGGAACCCGGCACCAGCCACGCCTGGCCATGGCCTTCCCGTTGGAAGCAGCCCAGCTGGTCTCTGGACTTGAGCACCCCTGGTGTAGACCGCAGGGGCACTGGTCCCAGGTGGGGAGCATGGTGAGTGGACTTGGTCCACTGAGAGCTCAGTCTGCTCTGAAGGAGGCCACAGTGTGGCCTTTTGGGCCCAGTATGATGGCGGCTAGCATTTCATCTCAGTCCTCTTGCGCCAGCTGCTGAGAGGTTTCTGGTATAAGCATCTGCCCGAGCGACTGCTTCCCCTCGATAGAGCTGGGCTAGGTGGCCACTACAGACCTCCTGGCCATGCCTTGTCAGGTGTGTGTTGTGACTGTGCCTCTGCGGCTATAGCTAAGACACCCTGTGACCAGGAGACCCCAAAGGCAGTGGGGCCATGTTCCCCTGGCCGGCAGCAGCCACAGTGTGTCACCACCAACAGGTGTTTTCCTGTGGCTGCTGCTGCTGCCCTCCCTGTGGCTGGGTGCCCGGTGAGGACAGCCATGCTGGGGGCCGTCCCCTCTGTGGTCAGCCAGGCAGGGCCCCTGGAGGAGGCTTCCAGCAGGCCCAGGGCTTCTGTGGGGCTCAAGCAGACGTGGGGAGGGCGTGCTGGGATAAGGGAATTGGTTTAGGGGCTGTTGTCTGGGTGTGGAGGAGCTTCCAGGTTTGTTTTTGTTCAAGACCAAGTTTGTCCAGTGTTCAAGTTTGTGCAGTCGGAAAGCCTTTGGTGCAGGGCCCGGCCCCTGAGCCTACGGACGCTGTCTGTGCTGGCTGCTTGGTGCCATTCTGCAGCTCTGAGCATTCTCTGTGGCCTCGGCCAGCGCCAAATGCTAGGGGACCTGTGCCTCTGCCTGGGGCAGGAGCTGTGGCCCAGCAGTCTGAAGTGCTTTTGCCTCAGCAAAAGCACCTGAAGTGCTTTGGCCCCAGGCCAGGGGCACCTGCCCAGAGGGTCGGAAGTCCAGGGTTTGTTCCTGAGATGTTGACAGGGAAGCTGAGGCCGCTTGCCCATTCTGTCGGGCTGCAGCCTCGCCGGCGTCCTCAGGCAGGCCTGGGACACAGGAGCTCGGCAAGACCCTGTACCTCAGTTCCCCTCATCACCTGGCCTTGGGGCCTAGGGTCCAGGTGCAGTGGTGACCCCTCAGGGCAGGCAGCATGGGGGAAGGTCATTGTCAGGGAAGAGCTGGGTGTGTGGAAGGAGAGAAGCCCCTTCCAGGTGAGGATTCCCTTCTCTGAAGAGTGACGGCTAAGGCTAGGGTGGCGGCCGGACCACCACGGGCCACGGTGTGGCTTCGGTCTGGGAAGTGGTCAGCTGTAGGCCCCACACTAGCCTGAGGTACAGTTTAGCAGGCCCTTCAGCTCCTGTGCCCAGAGCCGTGGCCTGCAGGCCCTGTGCGACCTTTCTAAGCCCACTGTGGTGCCCGGGTCTGCCTCAACTGCCTTGATCTATAGGCGTGTGTCCCCAGACCATACTGCCTGTTCCTGGGGACAGGGGCTAGGCGCCAGCATCACCTTTCCCCATGGGCCAGGTGGCCAGGCAGCAGGAGCTGTGCTCAGGTGGGAGGTGGGTGTGTGCATGCTTGCGTGGCTGGGCCTGCGCCCACTGGCCTCCATCCCGAGACATGGCCAGGCTGCTGTGTTCAAGGGCTTCATGCTGGACAGCTGTGCCTCTTGTCGTGCCAGGCCCCGTGCTTGGAGCCGTGTCACAGCGTTGGCCCTGGGAGAGCCCCTTCCCACCTGCTTGTGCCCAGGCCACCCCTACTGTGTGCTGGGTCTGGCTACAGCCTGCAGCGCAGCTCGAGGCTTGCAGTCCCTCTGGCAGGCCTGTGCTTGGGATGCTGTCCTTGCCCTGCTTGTCCAGAGTGGCCAGGACCCTTGTGAGGGCCACAGTGGAGCTACAGACACTGCTCCATCCATCTGCAGGGTGACCCTGTGCCCCCCACTTCCCAGTCACCTGCCTGTGTGGCATCAGGTGGGGGAGGAGAGACAGAGGAGCCCTTGTCTGCCACACAATGTGTTAGCGGGGCTGTGGCTCCCCGTGTGGATTGTCCCACAGCCCGCATCCCCAGGACTGGCCGCCTTGGTCCTCCCTGGCTGGAACCGACTGGTTGGGGCCCTGGACACGGTGTGGTGGCGAGTCCCCGCTCTCCCCTGCAGCTCGGAGTGTTCTTGGGGCCAGGGCTTGTTCGTGGCGTGCAGCTGGGGGGCTGAGGCGCTGGGAGCCGCAGGCAGGGCCAGGCAGGACCGGCTGCCCTGGGAGGCACAGGGCTCAGCCGTTGGGAAGGTCCCATGGCTGCTGGGCCCACTCCAGTTAAGCAGAGTCCAGCTCCGCTGAGCGCTGGAGTCACACTGGTCTGGCACACCTGGCCGGTCCGGGTGTCCGTGTGGGGAGAAGCCAGGATGCTTCTGGATCCTCCATGAAGGCAGACAGTGGGGGCCAAGCAGAGAGCACAGGGCGGGGTGCCTGGGCTGGGCCACCCCGGGTGGCGCCAGACGGTTGCTGTCCCTCGTTTACCATGCATGAATCTGCGGGACACGCGTGTGAGCACTGGCGGCGTCCGTCCGTGCCGGGCCAACCTGCCGCTGCTGCTGGCTCTGCTGCGAGCCTGGGGGGTCTCAGGAGAGGGAGGGTCCCCTGCTGGTGGCCGCGGTCTGTGGCGCGTGCGGAGCCGGCTCGTACTCCACAGCCACGCTGCGTGTTCTGACGTCTCCATTTCTTCTGTGTGCGTGTGTCTTGCCCACCTCGCCCCTAGCATGTCGTTTGGAAGGGACACTAGGTACAGCCACGCCTCGGCCCCCACTGGTCTGTCTGCCCCGTGTCTGCCTGCTCTGCCCTCCCTCGCCACCCTTGTCCCGTCTCTCAGTGCCCTGGGGCCGGTGCTGGACCCGTCCCCGCTCTCTCCGCTTTGTTACCGGCCCGGGACTGTGCCACGCAGGAGAGGGAACCCTGTGGCACCGTCTGAGCCCCAACAAGGTGCCACAGGAGCTGTCCTCCTGTGGCCCCACCTCCCCCCTTCCTCCCTGCCCTGTGTCCTCCTGTGGCCCCTGACCCTCGGGGACACACCTGTGTTGGGCTCAGCTGTTCCTGAGGATGCTTGGGTGGAAATGAGCCAGGGGTTGGGAGGTGAAACCACCACCAACAGAGACCTTGACCGTGAGCGAGGCTGGCAGGCCGACCCTGTGGTTCCTGACAGGCGCTGGCCTCCTGGGAGGTCACGGCCACACACAGCAGGCAAGGCAAGGAGGCCAGGTTTCCCAAGCATCCTCCCGAGTATGCCCTTCAGGGGAGCCAACGGCTGACGCAGGAGAGGACAGTGTGGGGCTCCTCATGCAAGCTGTGACCACAGCCCCTCCCGTGTCCTCCTGTGTCCCACCTCCCCTTCCCCCTGTGCTGTGTCCTCCTGTGTCCCACCTCCCCCTTCCTTCCCCACCCTGTGTCCCACCTCCCCCTCCCCCTGTCCTGTGTTCTGTGCCCCACCTGTCCCTGCCCCACCCATGTCCTCGTGTCCCCCTCCCCCCCCTGTCGTGTCCTCCTGGTCCACCTCCCCCTCCCCCTGTCCTGTGTTCTGTGCCCCACCTGTCCCCTTCCCCCCACCCCATGTCCTCCTGTGCCCCCCTCCCCCCTTCCTCCCAATCCGTGTCCTGTGACTCCCGCCTCCCCCCTTCCTCCCCACCTTGTGTATTCTGCTCCCCCTGGATAAGGAGGGGTCGGTCCGCCTGGCGCCGCCACTCAGGCCTCCTGACCTGACTCCAGCAGCTCTCTGGCAGTAGCCCAGTCCGTCCGACCACCTTCCCATCTGCATGTGCCCATCCCAACGGAGGGCAGCACACACCACCATCTTCTCCTTCTCTCTGCTTCCTTCCAGAACATTCTACCAGTTCGAGGCCGCATGGGACAGCTCCATGCACAACTCCCTCCTGCTCAACCGAGTCACCCCATACCGGGAGAAAATCTACATGACCCTATCTGCGTACATTGAGGCAAGAAACCTATGTGCAGAACCCACTACACACCTGTCTGTGCAGAACCCACTACACCTCTGTCTGTGCAGAACCCACTACACCCCTGTCTGTGCAGAACCCACTACAACCTGTCTGTGCAGAACCCACTACACCCCTGTCTGTGCAGAACCCACTACACACCTGTCTGTGCAGAACCCACTACACCCCTGTCTGTGCAGAACCACTACACACCTGTCTGTGCAGAACCCAGTACACACCTGTCTGTGCAGAACCCATTACAACCTGTCTGTGCAGAACCCACTACACACCTGTCTGTGCAGAACCACTACACACCTGTCTGTGCAGAACCCATTACAACCTGTCTGTGCAGAACCCACTACACCCCTGTCTGTGCAGAACCACTACACCCCTGTCTGTGCAGAACCCACTACACACCTGTCTGTGCAGAACCCATTACACACCTGTCTGTGCAGAACCCACTACACACCTGTCTGTGCAGAACCCATTACAACCTGTCTGTGCAGAACCCACTACACACATGTCTGTGCAGAACCACTACACCCCTGTCTGTGCAGAACCCACTACACCCCTGTCTGTGCAGAACCCACTACACCCCTGTCTGTGCAGAACCCACTACACACCTGTCTGTCCAGAACCCACTACACACCTGTCTGTGCAGAACCCACTACACCCCTGTCTGTGCAGAACCCATTACAACCTGTCTGTGCAGAACCCACTACACACATGTCTGTGCAGAACCACTACACCCCTGTCTGTGCAGAACCCACTACACACCTGTCTGTGCAGAACCACTACACCCCTGTCTGTGCAGAACCCACTACACCCCTGTCTGTGCAGAACCCACTACACACCTGTCTGTGCAGAACCCACTACACACCTGTCTGTGCAGAACCCATTACAACCTGTCTGTGCAGAACCCACTACACACATGTCTGTGCAGAACCACTACACCCCTGTCTGTGCAGAACCCACTACACACCTGTCTGTGCAGAACCCACTACACACCTGTCTGTACAGAACCCACTACACACCTGTCTGTGCAGAACCCATTACAACCTGTCTGTGCAGAACCCACTACACACATGTCTGTGCAGAACCACTACACACCTGTCTGTGCAGAACCACTACACCCCTGTCTGTGCAGAACCCACTACACCCCTGTCTGTGCAGAACCCACTACAACCTGTCTGTGCAGAACCCACTACACACCTGTCTGTGCAGAACCACTACACCCCTGTCTGTGCAGAACCCACTACACACCTGTCTGTGCAGAACCACTACACACCTGTCTGTGACCAGTGTACTCCTGACACACCTGATTGTGACCAGTGTACCCCTGACACACCTGTCTGTGCCCAGCGCACCCCTGACACACCTGTTTGTGCCAGCACACCCCTGACACACCTGTCTGTGCCAGCACACCCCTGACACACCTGTCTGTGCCCAGCACACCCCTGACACACCTGTCTGTGCCAGCGCACTCCTGACACACATCTGTGCCCAGTGCACCCCTGACACACCTGTCTGTGCCCAGCGCACCCCTGACACACGTCTGTGCCCAGCGCACCCCTGACACACGTCTGTGCCCAGTGCACCCCTGACACACCTGTCTGTGCCCAGCGCACCCCTGACACACATCTGTGCCCAGTGCACCCCTGACACACCTGTGTGTGACCAGTGTACCCCTGACACACCTGTGCCCTGTGCCATTTTGTGCAATATTCAGTTTGCTTCATTATCCTCCAAGAGTGGGGCTCTGCAGGGCCAGGGCAGGCGCCCTGGCTGAGCCCCTCCTCTGCCACGCTCACAGATGGAGAACTGCACGCAGCCGGCCGTGGTCACCAAGGACTTTTGTATGGTCTTCTATTCTCGCGATGCCAAGCTGCCTGCCTCACGCTCCATCCGCAACCTGTTTGGTAGTGGGAACCTGCGGGCGTCCGAGAGGTGAGCCCCAGACCACGGTTGCCTGCTGTGCATCCTGATTGGTGCTGCTTTCTGGGGGTGTGGCCCAGGTTTCCCATGGCCTCAGGGACCCTGCCTCCTCTTTCCCTCCTAGGGCTAGACGTGGTGGTGCCAGGGCCCACCAGGAAGCCCGGCCCAGCCTGCAGTGGAGGCAGGGAACCTGTGACCGCCTAGGGTTGTCCAGGACACACATAGCAGGACTCCCTGAGGAGGGTCCCTCAGCAGCCTGAGGAGTCAGACGCCACAGCCAGCATCCTGGCCTTTGCCCCTCCGGGCATCACTGGGTGGGAGGGGAAAGAGTTCCGTGGCCAGGGCAGGGAGGGAGTATGCCCAGGCTGCTGGCCTGTGGTCGCTGTCAGTGAGGACCCCTGGGGTCCATTGTGGGGCACAGCAGCCAGCCACTGGGAGCTGCTAGGAGAAAGGAGTTGGGGCTGGGACTGCATGCCCTTAGGGTGGTCGTGGCCATGCAGGGGGCTGCCCCGATTAGGGATTCTTGAGGGGTGCAGGCCTGGGGTTGTGGGGGCTTGGGGACAGCTGTGCTTTCATCTCCACCCAGGCTGGGCCCCTGTCCAGGCTGCAGCAGGTGGAGGCTGGGGTCTGCCACAGCCGCCCTGTGCCAGGCAGCAGCCTAGGCGTGTGGTAGGACCCAAGCCCTGTGCACCTGCATGTCCCTCCCTCTACCCTATAGCAACCGTGTGACCGGCGTGTATGAACTCAGCCTGTGCCATGTGGCGGATGCGGGTAGCCCAGGTAGGACCCGTCCTGTGCTCTCTGGCTGCACCCTCACGCTCTCTCCCAAGGGTGCCTGGGGAGGGCTGCAGTGCGTGGAGGAGGCTGAGCTGAGCACCTGACCAGCCATACCACTTTATGTGGATGTGGGCCCTGGGGTTACAGGGCAGGGGTCCCTGTGGCTGCAGGCGGGGACGAAGCCTCCTTCCCCCACTCAGGGATGCAGCGTCGGCGCAGGCGTGTGCTGGACACATCCGTGGCCTACGTCCGCGGGGAAGAGAACCTGGCGGGCTGGAGGCCCCGCAGTGACAGTCTCATCTTGGACCACCAGTGGGAGCTGGAGAAGCTGAGCCTTCTACAGGAGGTGAGCCAGCAGGGTCAGGGCTCAGGAGGGGAGCCATGGGCTCAGGGCCCGGAGCTGTGGGCTCAGGGCTCAGGAGGGGAGCCATGGGCTCAGGGCTCAAGCTGTGGGCTCAGGGCTCAGGAGGGGAGCCGTGAGCTCAGGGCTCAGGGCTCAGGCGTGGCCTGTGTTCTCTGCAGGTGGAGAAGACCAGGCACTACCTGTTGCTGCGGGAGAAGCTGGAGACGCAGCGCCCGGCCCCCGAGGTGCTGTCCCCGAGCTCCAGCGAGGACTCCGAATCCCGCAGCTCCTCGGGCGCCTCCTCCCCGCTCTCGGCCGAGGGTCGCCCGGCGCCCCTGGAGGTCCCCAGCGAGAGGCAGCGGGAGCTGGCCGTCAAGGCAGGTTCAAGGCCCGGCCTGCCACAGTCCTGCCTTCCGGGTACTCGGCCAAGCCCGGCTGACTCCAGTCAGAGCTTCTGGGAGCTGGGGTCCATGCGTCTCCCCTAGCTGGTACCTGTTCACGTCCTGCTCTCCACGGCCTCCCCATGGGCAGGGGCCTCATTGCCTTGAACCCCTTGAGGCCAGGCCCTCATCACCTCCATCTGGAGCCAGCACCCGGGCCTGTGGGCAGTGAGGGTTGTGCAGGCAAGCTCTGACCACTGTCCATCTGTCTGTCTGTAGTGTCTGCGCCTCCTCACGCACACCTTCAACAGGGAGTACACCCACAGCCATGTCTGCGTCAGCGCCAGTGAGAGCAAGGTGGGTGCCACTGCCACCAGGCCGAGGGCATCAGGGCAGTGGGAGGGGTGCGGCCAGCCCAGGCTGAGGGCATCAGGGCAATGGGAGGGGTGCAGCTGCCACCAGGCCGAGGGCATGAGGGGGATGGGAGTGGGTGCAGCTGCCCCCAGGCCGAGGGCATCAGGGCAATGGGAGGGGTGCGGCTGCCCCCAGGCTGAGGGCATGAGGGGAATGGGAGTGGGTGCAGCTGCCCCCAGGCTGAGGGCAGCAGGGCAATGGGAGGGGTGCGGCCAGCCCAGGCTAGGGGCACAGTGGTGGGGTGATACAATTGCTTCTGGACTGGAGGAACGGGATTGAGAGGGCCCAGGCCCTCCCCATCTGACCCCATCCTGTGGCTTAGCCACCTCCTCCAGGTCCTATATCTTTAATCTTGCTCCAAACCTAGGGGCTCCTGGCCATCCCTGGGGCTGCCCCTGTGCCATGTCGGGCCTGGGCACCCCCCTCTGCCCGTGGCCCCCCATGCAGGATGTCCTATTTCCACAGCTCTCTGAGATGTCTGTCACCCTGCTGCGGGACCCGTCCATGTCCCCTCTGGGGGCAGCCACACTCACCCCCTCCTCCACCTGCCCCTCTCTGGTTGAAGGGCGGTACGGTGCTGCTGACCTGAGGTGAGTGAGCACTCGGCTTCGGGAGAAGCTTCCAGAAGCTGGAGTCCAGCAGGGATAGTGCTGGCTGTGACGGGCAGGAGTGTTGCTGGCTGCAGGGCCTAGGGGTACAGCCTATGCATTGGGCCCTGGCCAGGCCCCGTCACTGCCTGCCCCTCCCCAGCCACCGTGTTCAACATGGCCTGGGGTCAAGACATCCACACTGCTGGCTCCGCTGGGCAGATCACGAGGGCCCTGAGGAGTAAAGCCAATGGCCAGGAGCCTGACAGGAAGCAGCGCCCCCTCCTCCATTCCCCAGGACCCCCCAACCTTGCTCCCGGCCATCCAGCCCCGAGCCTGAGCCCACCCTGGAGGCTGAGACCAAGAAGTTCCCATCCCCCGCCCGGGCCCCTGAAGCTGACAAAGAGCCTCAGCGCCTGCTGGTACCTGATATCCAGGAGATCCGAGTCAGGTGTGTGGGGCCCAGTGCAGGACCAGGGCGTGCGGGGGCCCAGTGCAGGACCAGGGCGTGCGGGGGCCCAGTGCAGGACCAGGGCGTGCGGGGGCCCAGTGCAGGACCAGAGCGAGCAGGGGCTGTGTGGGGGCCCAGTGCAGGACCAGAGCGAGCAGGGGCTGTGTGGGGGCCCAGTGCAGGACCAGGGCATGCGGGGGCCCAGTGCAGGACCAGGGCGTGCGGGGGCCCAGTGCAGGACCAGAGCGAGCAGGGGCTGTGTGGGGGCCCAGTGCAGGACCAGAGCGAGCAGGGGCTGTGTGGGGGCCCAGTGCAGGACCAGAGCGTGCGGGGGCCGTGCGGGGGTCCAGTGCAGGACCAGGGCGTGCGGGGGCCCAGTGCAGGACCAGAGCGAGCAGGGGTCCAGTGCAGGACCAGAGCGAGCAGGGGCTGTGTGGGGGTCCAGTGCAGGACCAGGGCGTGCGGGGGCCGTGCGGGGGCCCAGTGCAGGACCAGAGCGAGCAGGGGCTGTGTGGGGGTCCAGTGCAGGACCAGGGCATGCGGGGGCCGTGCAGGGGTCATGCAGAGGCCATGCAGGGACCCAGTGCAAAACCAGGGCATGCGGGGGCCCAGTGCAGGACCAGGGCGTGCGGGGGCCGTGCGGGGGCCCAGTGCAGGACCAGGGCGTGCGGGGGCCCAGTGCAGGACCAGGGCGTGCGGGGGCCGTGCGGGGGCCCAGTGCAGGACCAGGGCGTGCGGGGGCCCAGTGCAGGACCAGAGCATGCGGGAGCCGTGTGGGGGTCATGTGGGGATTGGCTCTGAGCAGGAACTGGGGCATGGCAGGTGGGGACACAGCACCTGTGCTGGGGATGAGGTCAGCTAGGGCAGGCTGGGCTGGACACTGGTCACAGTCCTGCCTCCCCAGAGGCCCTGGAAGTGAAGTTGCCTCATGGTACAGCTTAGGGTGTAGAGGCCCAGGTCGGAGGGTAGGGGGCCTGGTTTCTCAGGTGTGTGTCCCCACTCGGGCCATGCTCTGTGATGGGGCAGCCCAAGACAGCAGTGTCGTCCCCCCAACCCAGCCCGATCGTCTCCAAGAAGGGTTACCTGCACTTCCTGGAGCCGCACACGGCTGGCTGGGCCCGGCGCTTTGTGGTGGTACGGCGCCCCTATGCCTACATGTACAACAGCGACAAGGACGCCGTGGAGCGGTTCGTACTCAACCTGTCCACCGCCCAGGTGGAGTACAGCGAGGACCAGCAGGCCATGCTCAAGGTGTGCCCACCCTCATGCCATCCCAGGAGGGGGAAGGGTGTTGTGTCCCACCCCACAGCCCAGGGCCTCGTCCACTCATCCTGGGGACACTGCGGTGGGTCTGTGAGCACTCGGACCCTGAGTCCCTCAGGCTAGCTGGGAGTGGTCGCCAGGGGCTCGGATGGTCATGTCGGGCTGGAGGGGGTGCAGAGCAACGGCCAGGACAGTCCTGGGTAGGGTGCTGGTCGCAAAGGCTTCTGGAAGGTAGAAGGTGCCGGGGCCACTCTGCTGGCTCCTGCCTGAGGCCCCCACCTCCCGGCCTGGCCCCTCCTCACCATGCCGCTCCCCGTAGACGCCCAACACATTCGCCGTGTGCACCGAGCACCGGGGCATTCTGCTGCAGGCTAACAGCGACAAGGACATGCATGACTGGCTATATGCCTTCAACCCCCTTCTGGCTGGAACGATCCGGTACGCTGGCGTCCACCCAAGGACGAGGGGCATGGGGAGGGCCGGGGGCATGGAGAGGGCCGGGGGCATGGGGAGGGCCGGGGGCACGGGGAGGGCCGGGGGCACGGGGAGGGCCAGGGGCACGGGGAGGGCCGGGGGCACGGGGAGGGCCGGGGGCACGGGGAGGGCCCGGGGCATGGGGACCTGTGACTTTCTGTCTAAGCCTTTTTGGGGATGGAGGAAGGTGGCAGGGCACTGGCCTGTGCCGGGTGGGATGGATATGGCCGAGAGCTGTGCCTGGCCCTGATGCCTGTCCCTCCTGACCCACAGGTCCAAGCTGTCTCGAAGGAGGTCTGCCCAGATGAGGGTCTGAGCCTCGACCCCCACCCCTGCCCACCCCCTTCTTTCCTGCCCTTACCTGCCCTCCCCACCAGCCACGCTGAGCCGTGTGAGCCCCTCCTGGGGCCCACGCTGGCCAGCTGGACACAGGATCGGCTCTGCCTCCAGCTGGTGCCCATGCTGTGGTTTCTTTCAGCTCGGGGGGAGGGGTGGGGGGGCCAGGCACCACCCTGCTGGTGTTTTTTACGTGTAGACAGACTCATGATCTGCGTCCCTAGCTAGTGTCCCAAGCCAGCTGGCCAGGTGCCCAGCTCTATTTATAGTATTTATTTCTCAGTTTCCACACAAGCCCTGCACCTCGCACCCCATACCTGTTGGCCAGGCACAGTGGACAGTAAGGCCTTCCCGGGCCTGAGCTGAGCAGCATGGAAGAGGCACGCGTTATTGGAGGGGAAGGAGGCAGGTCCACCTGCTGTTTGGGCAGCCTCTTGTGCTGTCACTCTGGGAGCAGCAGGTGGCCCAGAGCCTCGGAACCTTCCTGGGCAGGGGCCAGGCCGGACAAAGGTGTGAGCCTACAGACGCAGGTTGCCCTCCCGGGGTGGCCGTGTGTCTGGGGCTTGAGCTGGAGCGTGTGGGGGTAGGCAGGGTAACCAGGGCCTTGAGCCGGAGCGTGTGGGGGTAGGCAGGGTAACCAGGGCCTTGGGAGACACGAGAAGAGCTGCTGCAAGCGCCGTCAAAGAGATCCAGGGCTGTTATGTCCCAGGCAGGCAGCTGGCAAGGGTCCTCACCCCCAGGGAGCTCCGATTCCACTCTGGAGCCACGTGGCCCACCATGGCTGCCCGGAGCCGGCACATTCAGCGTCCACAGGTCCACACCAGGGCCACATGCTGTTCGGGCATTGCCACCATTTTTGCCAGCTCCTGCTGCTCAAGTGGATAAAATGTCCCTGCGTGGGGCCACTAGAGCTGAGGCATCTGGGACCCTGAGCCCATGCAGGTACGCCCACTTGCACCAGGGGGCGCCTGTCAGTCAACGTTGGATGAGTGGAGCTGGGAGGGCAGAAGAGGAGTCTCCAGGTTGGGGTTCATCAAGTTTGGGGGTAGGGTATCCACTTTGGGGAGGCGGGATGTGGTCAGGTGCTCCAGGGGAAGTCCAGCTCCCCAGGGAGGGAGTGACCCCAGCACTGGGTTTGCCTTAGTGGCTGCTGGAGGGCTGGGCGGGCGCCACCGTGGCCCACTCAGGTCTGCCAGCCTGAGTTGGGCCTGGGGCCTGCAGGGTGGGTGTCTGCGGCCGGCCAGCCTGCAGAACACCTGCTGGGGCCCAGGAGTCACCCGAGTCGGCTGAAGCCTGGAGCTGAGTGGGAGGGAAGTTGTCCATGGTCAGGAAACGTGGCCTCCCCACTGCCACTTGGTCCCAACCCACGTGCCATGCAACTGTGGGGCAGCCATCCCCAGAGGGCAGTGAGGGGCTCCTGCAGACCTAGACTCGGACTCCATGTGGGCCCCAGCATGGGAAGCGCCAGCCTTTTCCCGAGAGACCACAGACAAGATAGCAACCACACGTCACACCCCAACCCCCTAGAAACCCCGGTGTGGCCGGTGTCCTGGCTCAGTTGCCAGGGTTGCCGTGGCTGGCCCTTCCTCCCCTGTCCCCGCTCCCCTCCAGCTTGTACATTATGTGGCTGCGGTGTGCACCCCACCCTTACCCCACGCGTGTTAGCTTAGCCCCGTCCTGGGTGTGCGCCCCTGTCCAGTTGCAGAATAAACGTGGCTCGTGCAGCTCATGTGTGGCTCTGTGTGGGTTCTTGCGGACCGGGCCTGCTGGGTAGTGCTGTGACTGGGCCCACTGCCCGGGGCCGCCCTCCCCTCTCATCAGGTGCCCCCATCTGAACCAGCCCCTATGCCCCAGGACAAGAAGAGGCAGCTGGGGGTGGGGTCCATCTACCGTGGACAGGCCTAACTGCCATGGATGGGGATGCCTGGTGTGGACAGTCTTGCCTGCTCTGGTCAGGGCTGCCTAACGTGGACAGTCCCACCCATGGGCCTTGAGCCGCGTTCTCGGAGTCCTGCCTGCCTGCAAAGTCTCTTCAGGGCAATGCCCGCCCACAGGGACACTGCCCCGTGTGGACGCCTGCCCATGGGATGAGGCTGGTTGTGGGTCTGCCAGGTTCTAGGCTAGCTTCAAAAAAACACGTTAGGGACCACAAGAGACAGGAGCACCAGGGGCCTCTCCATGGGCGAGCTGAGATACTCGGAGTCGGGGAGGCAGCCCGGCTGGAGGGGACACTCACCAGAAGGGCCACTCTCCGGAGGTGGACAAGGCCCAGCTTAGCTCAGCTGGTGCAGCCCTGACCTTCTGGAACCTTCTGCTGGTGGCTTCCCTGGTCACTGCTCTGAGTGCCCAGCATGTGTTTCTGCGTTCGAGAGTCTGCTCTGGCTGCCCTGGTCCTCCCGTCTGTGGATACGTCAGCATCGGATCGCCCAGCCTCTGCGCCTTCGGCCTGGCCCAGCCTGCCCGGGGTGGGCATTTGGGAATGACCCAGAATGTGGAAGCTCTGTGTCTTTCCATCTCCCTCAGTCACTCTGGCACTTGGCCTTTCAGAATAATCCATCTGATTGATCAACTGAGCGACCTGTTGATTGGTTGGTCAGTCTTGTGAGAAGTCCTCACCGCAGGCATTGTCAGGAGCTGGGTCAGAGGAACCCCTCACAAGGGTGCTGTGACCACCACCCTTGGGTGGCCCCGATGTCCTGCCTGCTCAGGGATGGGCACTGAGGCACAGGCAGCCCAGGTCCAGCCTCCACCAGCATCCCCAAGGAACAGAGCAGTGGACGGGCTAGAGCCTGCAGTACCCGGCACAGGCACCAGAGGCTATAAGAGCTCGGGGACCCGGGAGAAGGGGTGATTCAATCAGGCCCCAACAGGGGCCAGCTGCCACCCAGTGACCAGCACAGGCCACTCAGGGATCAGCCAGGCCACCCGGGACCAGTCCAAGCCTGGTCACTACATGGACCATCCCAGCTTGGTCACCACAGAGGCCAGCCCGGCCTGGTGCTCAGAGGAGCCCCAGGGTCCTGGGCCCTCCAGCAAGGCTGGTTGTGGTTGCTGCCTCATGTGCAGAAAACTCAGCAAAGAAAGGGAATTTAAGATGGACTGCGAGGGTTGTGGCCAGGAAGCAGTGCGTTGCCCCACAGGGACACTGGCCAGCCCTGTCCTCAGCACCGCCTCTGCCCATGCCAGGCTCCCCTGAAAATTTTCAGCCTGGGCCCACGTCTGCATCCAGGTACGCTGGGCCTCTGGGGCGACCTGAGGATGACTGGACCTTTGGAACTTTTCAGAAGTCAGACATCCTGTCGCAGATTTCCAAGCAGCTTTGCCCACGCCCGCCGGCGCAGGGCCACGCTGCTTCGTGCCCACTCTGGGGTGATTCTGACCCCGTGTTTCCTGTGTGGTACGCCTTGTGCCATCACTGCCTGCCATACTGCAGTCAGCAAGCTCGTGCTGTCCACTGCCCCCGGGACAGAGGCCGGCACTCTGGGAGCGATCCGTTGACCACGGGTCCTTCAGCCTCCTTGGCACACAGGGCACCCCGAGGTCAGCATTTAAAGCCCAGCAGCCCCCACGCTCCCAGCCTGGTGCTGAGAGCCTCTGCCACGGCCCGCATGTGGGACGGGGCTCTCCACCTGGCACATCCCCTATGATCTTCTTGTGGTGCGTGGGCTGCAGGGTGAGCTGGCGCAGGGGCGAGGGGGTCATACCTCACCTCTTGGGCCCTCCTGGGCCTCCTGCAGCCCCCAACTAGCACAGAACCTGACTACCCCCCAACTCTGGAGCAAGCCCAGGTGGGGGGAAGCTTGCTTCCTAACCCCTCTGCCAGCGGCCACACTGGGCCTGGCAGGAGGGGATGAGGGGGAGCTGTGGCAGGACAGAGTCTCAGCCAGGAGTCCTCCTGTCCTCATCCCCACAGGGCCAGGGAGACACCGCCTTCCCTGGATGGGGACACGGCCCTGCCTGGATGGGGACACCGCCCTCTCTGGATGGGGACATAGCTGTAGCAGGAGCTTCCAGACCAGTTTTGATGTTGGGGTGGAAGCTGCTGGCGCCCCTGGCCTAGCCCCAAGCCCTAGGTCAGATGTCCAGGCCCCAAGGCGAGGGCTCACCTGGCTGCCCAGGACCTGCAGGCCACAGGCCCCACACTCAGTTGCCCTGGGCAATGGGGATATGCCTGCTGCTGGCCCATGCTGGGTGGCCCAGGCCCACCTTTCTGCTTCCACACTCAGTATTTTGACTGGGGCTGCCCCTCATGACCAACAGGGCGAGAGCCTCAGGCCCAGGCTAGCCCTTGGTCTCATTCTAGAAGGAAACTGCAGGAGACAGGGTGGGTACTAGTTCAAATTTACTAACAGGAGGGGGTGTTGCCTCCCCCTCCCCTTCAGCCCTCAGCTGGGGCGGAACCAAGCTCCACCTGCCCTGCCCAGCCCAGAGTCTGGAAGTGCTTGGGTCTCCCTGTCCCAGGTCCTGGAGCTTGGGAGGACCAGCCTCCCCCGGGGGCCTCGGTACTTGCTCTTCCGCCTGTAGAGCAGGTTGGTTTGGAAGAGGCCGGGGAGGTGGCCCTGGTGCAGCAGGACAGCCAGGATCATGCCTACGAGGCAGCAGGTCAGAGTTAGAGTGGGGTTGGGAGCCAAACGGGTGGCTCGGGGCAGACCCTGAGGGGACCTGGAGACCCCTGCTGCCCAGTGCTGGGAGATGGACTGCCCGGGCCCTGGAAGGTGGAGTCCTTGTCTCCACACCCAGTCTGCCCACACCCCAGGGCCCTCAGGAAGGACCCTGGCTCTGGCGGGCACAGATCCTCTCTGAGTTGTGCCAGTCCTCAGTGGGTTGGGTTCTGCACGGGGCCTGCATAGTGGCAAAGTAAACAAAACTGATGTCTGTGTGCTGGCATCCCGTACTGGCGCTGGTTCTAGTCCCGGCTGCTTCAGTTCCCACACAGCTCCCTGCTTGTGGCCTGGGAAAGCAGCGGAGGGCGGCCCAATTCCTACGATCCTGCGCCCGTTGGGAGACCCCGAGGAGGCTCCTGGCTTCAGCCTGGCCCAGTCTGGCCATTGTGGACTGCTGGAGAGTGAGCCAGCAGATGGAAAGAATGCATTGCTAGAAGCTCTGCCAGTTCCCACAGGTGCCTTGGTCCTCGGCAGTAGCCATGTGGCTCTCAAGCAAGGCTCTGTCCCCATGGTCTGTTCTCAGGCCTACATGGTCCACTGTGGTCCCCAGTCCAGTTCCTATGGAAGCAGCTCCCTATCAACCCTAGTAGGAGGCCTGGCCACTCTCTAGGAAGATGACCTGAGAAGGGAGGGACCCCTGGGACCCAGCTCTGCCCATGAGGGACCGAGAGCAGCAGAGTGGGTGCCCGGGACTGGGGGGGCCGAGAGCAGCCCCAAGGGCAGAGGGAGAACAGGCTCCCTGGGGACCCCGGGCAGAGTGGGTTGGCTTGTCAGACGCCAGGTGCCTGGGTTTGACAAGAGCTGGGAATTGGGGCCCCAGCAAGGGTGGCTGAGGGGTTCCTCAGGGTCAACCCACTGGGACAGCTGGCACCCAGCCCCCTGAGGCTCTGCCATCACCCTGGCCAGCCGGCCTGTGTGAGGCCTTGGAGTGGGCATCCCGCAGGGATCCCCCAGCGGGCACCATCCTTCTGCCCTAGCGCCCGTTGGAGGGGCTGTTCTCTCTAGTCGGCCCCTCCCTTCAGACAGAGCCCACCCACGACTGGTCAGTCCCAGAGCCCCGTCCAGGCTCGGAATGGCCCAGGGGATGGCATACGACTGTCCCCTTCCTTACCTGCAAGGGGTCCCAGCCAGTACACCTGGGCGTATTCCAGCAAGGTATGCCCTTCGCAGTGGAAGGTGGCGGAGGTGGCCAGCACAGGGTTGAAGAAAGCAGAGGTGTAGGGCCCAGCTGCGGACAGAGCAGAGCAGCCAGCCTGAGGCCTGTGCCCTTCCAGCCCACTGCGCATAGCAGGGAGCAGGGGTGGGTCTCACCCAGACCAGAAGGGACCCTCTGCCCTGGCCCCCAGCTTTCTGCTCCCAGCACCCGCCTTGTCTGGGGCGGGAGCCAAGCAGCCTGGCCCTGTGGCTCCCTGGCTGCCGAGCCCCACCCCCACCAAGTTCCTACCTCCACTTGGGCCTCTGTGGCCTTGGTACTCAGTGTGCAGCTGATTCTGCATCCCAGCTGCGGCTATCCCGAGCCTCCGCTCAGGGAGCAGCTGAGGACCGCAGGGTCCTGAAGCAGGTGGGGCCTGGGAGTTTGGTCCAGGGTCAGCCCGGCTGGGAGCTTGGGACTGTGTCCTCTGGAGAGGACTGAGAGAAGACCAGGACCCCCAGCTTGCAGCCCACCAGGCCAGGGAGAACAGGACACACCCAGGGGTTGACCCTCTGTGTGGAACATCAGGCTCACCTGTGTGGGTGGTGAAGGTGGCCAGCAGGGCCAAGGCGGGAACCCTCCGGGCAGGAAGGCTGCAGCGCAGGTACAGGAGGCCCAGGTGGAAGATGAAGGCTCCAGCAGCTTCCAGCAGCGCCCCATGTGGCACGGAGGTGCGCAGGCTGGAGCTGCAGTGCGCGGCCATGAGGCTCTGCAGCAGATGCAGCTGGCTGAGCTCCCAGGCCCAGCAGCGCAGGGTCAGCGCACGGGCGGCCATCATGCCCAGCCCTTGGGCCACCAGCTTCAGCAGCGTGCTGGGCAGGGATGCCTCGGCCAAGAGCAGCTCCTGTAGGGCCACTGCCGGGTTGCCCAAGGCCCCGTCCAGGGTGGCCCCGTGTAGCAGGAAGAACAGGAAGAGCAGAGTCAGCAGCAGGTCGGGTCCGACACCCGCGGCCCAGGGGCCCACGTCCGCCAGTGCCCGCATCTCCAGGCCGCAGGCTACCAGCTGGAACGCACTCGCTGCCTCCTGCGCGAAGCTGATGTAGGTGCCCGCAGGGAGCAGAGCCCTGGCTGCCCTCCTGGCTGCCTCACAGAGTCCACAGGTGACGAGCAAGAACGACAGGGAGACATTTAGCCCCGTCATTGTACTGGCACCATGGGGCAGCCTCACCACGCGGGCCCGGGATGCGTGGCAGCCCCAAGGGCGGAGCAGCTGTGGGAACGCTGCACCTGCACCCACTCGCGCCCCGCCCCTGGCGTCCTCCCTCCCGGGCCTCTGGCTAGCTGGGCCTCTGGCTAGCTGGGCTCCTATCCCCGCACTAGCTGTGGCTTAAGGGCCCCTAGTCCTGCTGCCCCTGCAGGGTTCGGAGGGCTGCTAGGAGCCAACATGCCCATGGCCAAGGCCCTGAGTGAGTGGTAGGAGACCTGGGTGCCCCTTGGGAAGCTGCTCCTGAGGCTCCATAGGGTGGAGCAGGGCTGCCAGGCACCACTGGGGCCACACTCTGCAGCCAGGAAGAGGCCTCCTCAGGCAGGGCCACCCAGGAAGTGGGCAGAGGGGCAGCTTTCAGAAGGGGCCACTGGGAGGACACGGGCACACCCTGAGCGCTGGTCCCTTCAACAATGCCCAGGGCCTGGCCACCTGCCGCTCTCCAGCATGCCCTTCCTACATCTGCCTCCCACACTACACTGCTGATGGTAAGAGGGGGACCCCTCGCTGTGACCCCCTGGCCAGGAGCCACACATGAGGCCAGGAACCCAGTTGGTTGCTGTTCTCTCTCCTGAGTGCCTTCAATTTCCTTCTAGCTTTATGGCAGTGAAGAGGTCACTCTGCGGTCACTCAGCGATGCCTTCAGTGTGCCCAAAGCTCCCCACTTCCTCCTGCTGGTATGGCCTACCCACGCCGCACCTCTGCCTTCTGTGTCTGCTTACTGCTGATACAGTGTAACAGATCAGCAGGAGAGTCAAGTTCGCTTCTCAGACAACCTCGTGTTTCCTGTTTGGGTTTTATTGTTGCCACCTGAGTCATGACAGAGGTTGGAGGCCGACCACACCCACAATACACCCTGGTCTACACGCACTGGATGCAAGGCGCTCTGTCTCGGGATCCCCGCCTGGGCAGGCAGAGCCTCTGCTGCTGTGATTGGAGGAGCAAACGTCCCGGCTGACCCGGAGCCCACTGTCTTGGCACTGATGTTCGCTCCCTCGGCCAGAGTTGGCGAGGCTGACTCAGGCCAGCCAGGTTTCCAGTCCCCACATGGATGGCTGGCGAGGGCTCCAGGGTGCACCTGGAAGGGCGTGTCCCCAGTGTGAGTGTCCTCGGCTGGATGTGGGGAACTAGCCATGCTGCTCAGCAGCGCCTGCTTTTCTTCTGTGTTCCTTGCATGTGCATGTCAAGTGGCTTGGAGGTCTGCAGACCCTGCCTCCCACTGCCCGTTGGTCGGACTGGCTCAGGGTGAGAAAGCATCTGTGGAAGCCACCTCGAGGGCCAGCCCAGCACCCCTGGGGCTCCTGCTCAGGTGGCCTGCCCCCATGTCAAACCTCACTCACCCGGGGTACCCCACCCAGCTATGGGCCAGCCCGGGTTTCCTGGGCCCTCCTTGACCTCTGCCTTTCTCTGGCCCCTGGCCCCCAGCCCTTCCCATGTGGTCTTACATTCAGAATGGGCCTCAGAGCATCACACTGCCCTGAGTCTCTGCCTGTGACATCTGAAATTGACCATCTCCGACATCCTAGCATCTGGCCTCCCCTAGGCTGGGCTGGTCTAGCTGAGAACCCTGACCCTTCTAAGAAGTTCCTGGAGGGCTGGTGTGGTAACCTAGTGGCTAAAGTTCTCACCTTTCATCTGCTGGGATCCCATATGGGCAAGGGTTCTAATCTCAGCTGTTCCATTTCCTATCCAGCTTCCTGCTTGTGGCCTGGGAAAGAATAAGGTCCAAAGCTTTGGGACCCTGCACCCACGTGAGGGACTTGGCAAAAGCTCCCTGCTCCTGGCTTTAGATTGGCTCAGTTCCAGCCATTGCGGCCACTTGAGGAGTGAACCAGCAGACGGGAGATCTTCCTCTCTGTCTCTCCTCTCTATAAATCTGACTTCCTAATAAAAATAAATAAATCTTCAAAAAAAAAAAATTCCTGGAGACCCCTCCCTTGGGCTCCCACCTGCCCTTTAAGGCGAGTGACCCGGACAGAGCCCTGAGCCCCTCTCTCTGCCCAATAGGTGCCACCTGCCAGGCTATCAGGGATCAATGGGCATTTGAGCCACTGCAGCTCAAAAGTCATGCAGCAGGCCAGGGAACCGTCCAGGAAAGGCCAGGAAACACCAGGTTTGGCTCACAGGTGGGGCCCAGCAGGTCGTAGCCACCATTGTGACCCAGGGGGACCTGGCCCTGGGCTCTGCCAACACCCTCGGCCAGCAGCAGTGGATACGAGTGACATCCATTAGCTGCCTTTCCAGAAGGGGCAGCCACCTTCTGACCCAGTGCCATCTACCTGGGTGGCCTGCCTGTGGCTATCCACACTGGCATCCTGGCACTTGTGGGGAGGGGTTCTGACACTGAGGCGGGGGCATCCTGGCACCTGAGGGGTTTCTGACACTGGGGGTGGTATCCTGGCACAAGGGGTGTCCTGGCACTTGGGGAGCACTGATACTGGGGGGCAGTGTTCTGGCACATGGGGTGTCCTGACACTGAGGGGCAGCATCCTGGCACTCGAGCTGTCCTGGCACTCGGGCGTCCTGACACTGGGGATCAGGTGCCCTACCCTCCGTACGTGTGCTGAGCCTAAGTAGACCCGGCCGAGCCCCGGGAAGGCTCCTGCTTACAGGTGGCAGCAGATCTGATGTTTCTGGTTGAGCTTCCTTGCTGCACATGGTGCCCCCCACCACTCAGAGCAGGGCCCCAACAATGTCTGGCCCCCTCCCTGTGCCTTTCCAGGCATCGAGACCCCACCCGCTGCCAGCCAGTGTTGGGGCTGGCAGGCCTCGCCATGGCAGGGGCTGGGAGCCTGGGGCCCTGAGGAGGGAGGGTGGGTGCGGGTGAGCCCCTGGGCTGGGAGGCCATGCAGTGATACTGCTGGAGCAGGAGGGGAGCAAGGCGGGTGTCACAGTGAAGGGGCTCCCAAGGCCGTAGCGTAGGACTGTACCTGGGTGTCAGCTGCGCAGCTTCCAGACCTCTAGCTGCTGTGGGTGGCCCCGCAGCAGAGGGAGCAGGAGGGGCTCCAGGAGGCAGGACAGCCTGCCAGCCCTGAACACCAGCTCAGTGAACAGCCAGAGGAAGGGCGAGCCGGACCCTCCTTGGCTGCACCTCAGCCGCCTCCCCACAGCAGCCCCCTCCCCCCGCCCCGTGAGGGCTGGACCAGCCCCGCCCTGCTTAAGCCAGAGAAAGAGAGAAGGAAGGTGAGGGAGAAGAGACAGAGGCAGAGAGGGAAATGGAGGGGAGGGGAGACAGAGCGAGCCGGGCAAGGGGGCCCCCCACATTCTGCCTCTTTCTGGGCCTGTTCAGGCATGGATGACACGGAGGGCTCTGTCGTGTGACAGTGCTACCATCCCCTTGGCCCCAGGCCGCCTGGTGACCCCTCTCCTGGGAGTGGGTGCTACCCCACTCCAGGGGAGCAACACCCCTTCCCCCATCTGCCCCAGAGTTCAGACCCCATCTTGGTTCGTCCCGCAGGAGCCCTGGGTGCTAGGTGAGGGTCACACACAGGGAGTCCTGGCTCTTGTGGGCCCTGGCGCTGAGTGGCTTGCCCAGTGTGGACGCCTCCTGGAACTCCTTGGCCATGTAGTAGTAGCAGATGGCATCCAAGCAGCAGTTGGCATCCGAGAGCTTGCTGGTAATAAAGAGGGCCCGGCTGAAGGCCAGGCGGGTGGCGCAGGACTGCAGGCCCGTGGCCAGCTGGGCCGTCAGCACGGCGTGCAGCGGCAAGAAACAGACCACAAACACGGCCAGGTTGGCCCAGACCATGTGGGCGGCCCTGCGGGTGGCCTCTGCCTGCACCGGCCCCGTGGCCGGCCTCTGGGCCAGGGCGGCCGTCACCTGCAGGGAGCAGAAGACCAGCACAGCCAGCGGCGGGTAGAAACCCAGGAGCGAGAAGAGGGTTGAGGTGCGCAGGCTGTGTCCCGAGTGGCTCCGGAAGCAGAAGCCGCCCTCCTGCACCCCCAGGAGCCAGCGCAGCCCCAGGGAACTGGCCACCAGCACCCACAGTGCCGCGCACACAGCAGCAGCCTGTCGTGGGGAGCGGAGCCCGCGGGCGCGCAGTGGGTGCCGCACGGCCACGTAGCGGTCCAGGGCGATGGCCGTGACCAGGCTGATGCTCATGTACCTGTTCAGCAGGTAGAAGCCCTGGGAGAGCTGGCACAGTGGTGTGTCAGAAGTGTCGCTCAGGGAGTGCAGTATGAAGGGCAGCGTGCACAGCAGGCACAGGTCGGCCACCGCCAGGTTGCTCATGTAGATGCGCGTCTCCGTCCAGCCCTGCATGCGGCGGCAGAACACCCACAGTGCCAGCCCGTTGAGCAGCACGCCCATCACCAGCAGTGTGCCCAGGTAGCTGGGGAAGACCACGTGCTTCAGCCAGTCTGGCCAGGTCACATTCTCGGAGCTACAGGTGTCATTCATGGTCCCGGGGCTGTGGGGTGGGAGGCAGAGGTCACCCCGGGGCAGGCCCCACCTGCTGACCCCTCCCTTGGGCACGAGGGAGGCCAGGCCTTTAGACAGGCCCTCTGTCCTGCCCCTCCTGTTCCCACTACTGGGCAGCAGGCAGGAGGAGCTGAGTTCACCTGGCTCTCCCTGGTGGGTGGGCTCAACTTAGAGGGACCCCACTCTAGCCTGTGCACCCTGCACTGTCAGGCAAGCCGAGGACAGACAACCCCTCCTGCCGTCCTCCACTCCCCAGAGGACCCTAGATCTCCCCACCCCCACCGTGAGTGCCTAGCCATGTCACAGCCCGGGGCTCCTGGCAGGTGTCCAGGAGTTACCCTGCCCTTGTGGGTCTGGATCCACTGGGGTGTCCTGCAGGAGGGTGGCTCAGTACCCCAGGGCAGCCGATCTGTACCCTGCCTTAGTGTGGGTCCCATCCCCAGCTGCTCAGTGAAATTGTGGCAGGGAGCGGGGAGCCACGTGGCATTCAGGCCTCTCAGAGACGCTGAGGCAAGCCAACCCAAGGACACCCCTGGAGCCCCGACAATGTTCTGTGACCCCCACTGGCCGAGGTTGGGGTACCTGCTGGAACCCTGTGGGCCTGCAGGGAGCTGGCACTGCCAGCGCCTTCAGGCCTGGGCAAGCAGGGGCTGCCTTGGGGAAAGGGGTGGGTACCCCCACTACTCCCCCTCAGGGGCTGGGGGAGGCTGGGGGAGGTGTGGTCAGCAGGTCCCTGGGCCCCCGCATTGTCCACCACCTCCAATAGCTGCTGGGGACTTTGGGATCACCTTCAGGACAGCCTAGGATTTTGTGGGAAAAGCTAAGTGATTTACCAGCACTGGGGCAGTTGGGGACCACCGAGACTGGAGGTAACGTCTGTCCAGGGCCCCCACAACACTCAGGCAGCAGGGCAGAGCAGGGGCCGTGACCGGTGGGCTCCGCCTCCCTGCCGTACTGTCTGCTCTGGGTGCAGGGACCTCAGGCTTGTGGGGTCAGGCTGCAGAGGGGAGGGCCCCTCTGTGAGCTAGCTCCTCACCTCCCCCGACAGCAGCCTCCATCAGGGCTGCGCAGGAAGTGGCTGCCCAAGCAGCATGTGTGGGAGACACAGTGGGGGCAGCCGCCACTCTCATCCCTGCCTGCACGCCCCTCCTCCCCCCACCTCTCCAGTCACTTCCCGCAGACGGCGGAAGAAGGCAGCTGACAGGGCTGGGGACCCACAGGCCACACCAGAGGAGACAGGGCTGGGTGTGGCTCCAGGGGAGAGTCCTTCCCCTGGGTCCAAGCTCCCTGCTGGTTCCCGAGGGAGCAGCTGATTCCTGGCCCAGCTCCGCCTCTTGAAAGGATTTTGAGGGGTGAACCAGTGGGCAGACCACCCTGTCTCCGAAATAAGAAACAAAACTTTTTTTTTTTTTTTACAGAGGGAAATAATGTCCTAGAGTCCAGTGCCCAGGCATGGGGGCGTGGGGGGCCAGGCAGCCGCCCTCCCCACCGCCTGCTGCTGGCCTAGCGATGCCCCTGGCGGTGCCAGGAGGGGCAGAAAGGGGTACAGAATCCAGCTGGGCCTGCAAAGGTCAGCCCAGCTCCAAGGGACAGTGGGCGTGCCAGCTCACAGACACTCCACAAGCTACCAGCCAGCACGAGTGGCAGGGGCACCACACAGGATTACAGGCTGCCCAGCCAACGCCATTCAGAGCCGCCCCTACCACCCAACCGGGACACGCCTCTCCTGGAGAGCCCAGCAGAACCCCGATCAAGTCCAGCATTGCAAGTTCACCATGACACCCTCACAGCCTCACCCTCCTCACACCCGCACAGCCTCACCCACCCCCGTCACCCTGTCACCCTCACAGCCTCACCCACCCCCATCACCCTGTCACCCTCACAGCCTCACCCACCCCCATCACCCTGTCACCCTCACAGCCTCACCCACCCCCATCACCCTGTCACCCTCTAAGCCTCACCCACCCTCCCTGACACACCCACAGTAATACCCTCCCTGACACCCTCACAGCCTCACCCACCCTCCCTGACACACCCACAGCCTCACCCACCCCCGTCACCCTCGCAGCCTCACCCTCCCTGACACCCTCACAGCCTCACCCACCCCATCACTCTGTCACCCTCACAGCCTCACCCACCCTCCCTGACACACCCACAGTAACACCCTCCTCACACCTGCACAGCCTCACTCTCCTCACACCTGCACAGCCTCACCCTCCTCACACCCTCACAGCCTCACCCACCCTCCCTGACACACCCACAGTAACACTCTCCCTCTTGACACCCTCACAGCTTCACCCTCCTCACAGCTTCACCCTCCTCACACCCTCACAGCCTCACCCACCCTCCCTGTCACCCTCACAGCCTCACCCACCCTCCCTGACACCCCCACAGCCTCACCCACCCCGTCACCCTCACAGCTTCACCCACTCTCTCTCGTCACCCTCACAGCCTCACCCACTCTGTCACCCTCACAGCCTCACCCACCCTCCCTGACACCCTCCCAGCCACCCCGAGAGCCTCTCTGCCCTCCGAGCTCAATCCCAGCATGTGGCTTCGAGTCTGGCACTGACCTGCAACAGCTGTGTGTTCCAGGCTTAGCTCCTTGGCGTCTGTGCGGATTAGGGCAGGGGCTGCCCTAGGTGGGCGGGGTCTCGGCTGAGTGGTCCCGCCCCTCAGGTCAGCTCCACTCTGCCTTCCGAGGCTAGATATGAAGGTCGGCAAGGAGGCCAGCCTGGACCTGGGACTTTCTGGTGGGGAAGTGGGGTGCCTATCCTGTGTTACACCCCGGAACCAGCATCCTGTGAGGTAGAGCCCTTGCTCTGGGCGCAGCTGGAGAGAAAGCAAAACCCAACCCGGCTCAGCCCTGCCTGCCAGCTTCCTCCTTCCAGCCCACCGCATGCCTCCCCGGGGGCTCTGGCAGGCACAGCACCCACACTCAGGCCAAGGGTTCCATGGCACCCTGCATACTTGCATGCCGGCTGGCCCACCCCTCCAGCAGATCCCGCCCCTTCTGCTCAGTTCTAACCTGAGACCTGAAGGGGCTTTGGAGAGTGTGGGACCCTGTCTGCTCCACATTCCAGACCCTTCTCCACTGCCCCACCCAGTCCCACCTGCTAGCTGCTCCCGCAGTCGCAGGTCCACAGCAGGCACACGGGTCCCCTTCCCTGCCCCGGAGCTTGGCATGGGGAGCCCCTGGTCTGGGTGTCTGGGGGGAGTGGTTCCTCTTTCCTGCCCGGGGCTGAGGGCTTAGGCTTTATAACCCCTGGCCCCCCTTGGGATGCTGCCCAGTGGTAGCTTGACCCCCTTGCAGTGTCAGGGACTTGCAGAGCGACCCTCAGGGTGCAGCACCACACAGTGCCACCTGCAGAAGCCCACCCAGCCTGCCTCGTGCACAGTCCTCCCCCCTCCCTGTACCCGTCACCTTCTTCCTGCCAGCGGCAACTGCCTCGCTCCTGCTCGGTTGGCTCTGCAGACCATGACAGCTGCCCAGCCCAGTCGTCTCTTGGGCAAAGGCTTGGCCTCTTGGGCTTGCTGCCCACTCTGCCCAGCCTCCTGCTGGCGCCCTCCCCAGCCCCATCCCTGTCTCTAGCCATCTCCTGCCTCCCACCCAGGTCTCCGCGCCTCCCTCTATAGTGCCTGCACCCTTCTGGGCATCGGGTTCCTTTGTGGAGAATTGGCCATGCCTGTACCCTCTCGGGATCAGGGGTTCTTACCAAGGAGGCGGCTTCCTGGCACATGCCAGGGCTCAGGAAGCCTCAGTGGGCCCTTGCCGTCTCACTCTGCTCCCAGCCATGCTGAGCGCGGAATGGCAACCGTGGCCACCGTGCTGGGGTGTGTTCATGTGAAAAGGAGACAAAATGAAACGGAAGGGAGAGCGGCTTATCCATTCGCTAGTTCACAGTCAGAGCTGGGCCAGTTGTAGTCGGCGGCCAGAGGCTGCGGCCGGGTCTCCCACACGAGTGGCCGGGGCACACGTGCCTGGGTCTTCACTGCCTCCCCAGGCATGTTAGCAGGGAGCTGGTTGGAGGGGAGCGGCCAGTGCTCTGACAGGGGCTGCTGGTCTTGGGAGTGATGGCTTCCCCCATGGCACTGCCAGCCTGGCCCTGTGCTAACACTCCGGCCAGTGGCGGTGCCATGTCCACAGTGCCCACGCTAGGACCGGCCTGGTGGTCCAGCTGTCCTGACGACTGTTTTGGTGCCTGCGCCTTGCTGACCTGACTTGGGGCTGCTCAGGGTGGGGTGCCCTGCTTGCAGGCCCAGCTCTGGACAGCAGGAGGAACAGAGAGGCTGGGACCTTTGGGTTCTCCATGTGCCCTGCCCCATCAGCGCCCTCGGCGCCTGCACTTTCTGTTCCTCTCCCCACACAGCCGGGACAGCTGCGTGCAAGCCGCGGGGAGGCAGCCCTGCCTGGCCTGCCCAGCCTGCACTGTCAGGAAGGAGGCTGTGGTGTGGCCCCTGGGAGCTGTGCCCGCAGCCTCCTTCTCCTGCCCTGTCCCTCCTGGGGGCCATGTCCTTCCTGATGCCAGCTGACTGCACCTGTGGTGCTGCCCAGCAGCCAGAGCCGGCGAGGCCAGGCTCTAGACCTGGGGCGAGAGGCGGTGCCCCACTGGGAGGACAATGGTGCCCGGTCCCCAGGGAGCTCTTTGCCACTCTGGTGATGACTCTACAGAGTGCATGGTGGGAGGTGGTCTTGTGGGGCTGGGAGAGTGCGACACCAGGGTCTCTATCCAGGACACCCCGCTTCGGCAGGCATTTGAGATTTCCAAAGTTCATAGAAACAGAGAAATGCATGTGGCTGTTGAGGACAAGTCTGAAGGCAGACTAGGTAGCCTGGATGGGGGACAGAAGGGGTGATGAGGTAGTGGGCACAGAGGAAGAACAGCTGGCAGGGGACATGGGGGTGGAGGTGCTTCTGGCAGTCAGCCTGCCCTGCCGGCATCTAGCCACTGGCTTGTGATCTGGGGAGTGGGCAGCTGTGCATGATGCCAGAGGCCCCCACAGATGCTCCCCCTGTCCATGACAGGCAGCACACTAGGCAGGGCCATAGGCTGCCCCTCTGCCCTAACTCCCAAAGCTCATTGGTACCTGCCCACAGCAAGCAACCCGGCTCTGGAAACCCCTAGGGCAGGCCTAGCCTGAGCCCAGAGCCCCTCTTGAGTCCCTGGCCCTGGCCTAGGAGTCTGCACACCAGGGGACTTACAGAGGGTCTCCCTGGCTGCTCGCCAGGAGAGGCAGGTGGGAGAGGCTGACCCCTAAATTTCTGGTCAGCAATGGCCCTCTCCTGTCCAGGGTACCCACCAGCTCAGGCACCTGGGGCATCTCACACCTGCTCCAGGGCTGAGGGACTCTGGGCGGCCGGGCTCTGATGGGAAAGAGGCAGGGCTCCGTTGCCCAAGGGACAGTCCTCCCATGGGGCACATCCCTGCCTCTTCCCCAGCCTGACTGACTTGAGGCAGCCTGCTGGGGTAGACCCAGGAAGTGGCTGCCTAGCTAGGGTCCACCCGGGGAACCCATGGAGCAGGTGCCCTGGGTCTTGGGAACATGACACTTGGCAGTTCCCCTGCCCCATTCCGTGTCCCTGGCCCCATGCCCACCCACTGCCTCTCCAATCACTTCTTCCTGAGGCTGGAAGTGGCAGCTGATATGGCCGGCGGTTCACAATAGACACACACGGCCCCTGCGAGACCAGGTCACCTGTGTGGCATGGCGGTTGGGTTCCCTCTTGAGCTCAAGTCCTGGCCCCACTCCCTGCTTCCTGCTGAGGAGCACTCCGGAGTGGCAGGTGAATGGCTCAAGTGCTTGGGCCCTGCTGCCCCAGGAGAGGCCTGGCCGAGCTCCAGCCAGCCCCAGCTGCTGAGCGCGTCTGTGAGTCAGCCAGCAGGCAGAGGCTCGCTCTTTCACTCTCTCTCTTTCGGCCTTTCAAATACTGTGGAAGAGCTACACGAGCAGAAGGGATCTTGGAAAGAGAAATGAGGACTTAAAGCGCACAGCAGTCCTCCTCGTGAGACAGGCAGTGGTGTTGGCCACCCGGGGGACGCCCCTAGGTGCCACCTGCTGAAACTGCACCAACCCTGTGGGCTTGGGACCTGGCAGCATCTAGCGGGGTCACTGACGTGCCCAGGATGCCCCTGCTCGGATCGCTGCATGAAGGGGGTAGAACCGGTGCGGCTCTGGGCAGGGCTGCTCCTGCGTGCCAGGGCGCAGACACGGAGAGTCCCGGCTGAGGACCCGGTCTGCCTCGGGGAGGTGGGATCCCTGGACACTGCTGCTCGCCAGCTTGCCGGTAAGAGAGCCATGCGTGTCGGACACAATCTGTGCTTCCCGCAGTAGCCAGCAGCCTGCTGACAGGCGGCCGTGAGCAGGTGGGGAGGGCAGACCGCTGGGCGAATGCTGGCTTTGCAAGTTTGGTCTTGAATCGTGTAGGTATCTGTGTGGTTATCACAACTTTATTTAGAGGAAGCCTTACAAAGAGGGTAAAATCCCCTCCCAGACTCCAAACACTGCTTTGTTTACACACGTGTGGAAGCCAGAATGCACGATTCTAGTCCCTGCAGCCCCGCTTCTGATCCAGCTCCCAGCTCAGGCACCTGGGGGGCAGACGAGGCTGGAGACCTGGGTCTCCTAGCATCACGCTGGCCTGATCTGCTGACCACTGTCTGTTACTCCTTACTTCTCTGTCACTCTGTTAAATAACTAAATAAATGGATAAATAAAAAAAACAACAAATCTTTAAAAGGTATGGTTAAAAATCTTAAGCTGCTTCCTGTAATCACACAGTTGTTACTGTTATTTTGGGAGAGTGAACAAGGTGAGTGAGTGTGCCCGTGCTGCTGGGCGCCGTGGTATTGCACACAGGACCAAGGTCAGACTGTCCTCAAGTTCAAGGGAAAGGGGCTGTACCCACAGTGCGTCTTTATACTTACAAAGCGGAGCCCTCTGAATTCTGCTCACAGACATGAACTGGAACCCCTAGCAGCCTGCACCCAGCGGGGACAGGGCGAGTCAGGAGCCCAGCCCTAAGGGATGCGAACCCCAAACCTTGTAATGCAGTCTCAAAATCCCACAGTCGCCCAGGAAAGAGGTGACTATTCTGAACGCTAATCAGTAAAGAGAATGACTGCAACATGGATGCCCTGACCGGGCTGAGCGGATGCTTCCTTTGCCCTCTCCTCAGGATACCCCAGCCAGCCCCCTCAGCCCCTCTCCTCAGGATACCCCAGCCAGCCCCCTCAGCCCCTCTCCTCAGGATACCCCAGCCAGCCCCCTCAGCCCCTCTCCTCAGGATACCCCAGCCAGCCCCCTCAGCCCCTCTCCTCAGGATACCCCAGCCAGCCCCCTCAGCCCCTTTCCTCAGGATACCCCAGCCAGCCCCCTCAGCCCCTCTCCTCAGGATACCCCAGCCAGCCCCCTCAGCCCCTCTCCTCAGGATACCCCAGCCAGCCCCCTCAGCCCCTCTCCTCAGGATACCCCAGCCAGCCCCCTCAGCCCCTCTCCTCAGGATACCCCAGCCAGCCCCCCTCAGCCCCTCTCCCTGGCACCCCCTCCCCAGCCCCACTCTCCTCAGGCTCCTCTCCTCAGCCTTGCCCTTGCCTCAGCCCCTCTCCTTGGTGCCCCCACTCCTCAGCTCCTCTCCCCAGGGTACCGTGCCGCATTGCACCTGTTACCAGAGACCCTACTCAGCCCCCTGCAGCTCGCTGGGTTCTCCAGGTCCACACCATGGGTCACCAGGCTGTGACTTCACCTCCGCAGGGTCGGGGCTGGTGTGGAGCTCCAGCGAGCAGCTGC